CTCCCTGTTGACACTGTAGTGGTTCAACATGTATGTTTGAGAGAGAGAGAGAGAGAGAGAGAAGAGAGAAGAGAGAGAAGAGAGAGAGAGAGAGAGAGAGAGAGAGAGAGAGAGAGAGAGAGAGAGAGAGAGAGAGAGAGAGAGAGAGAGAGAGAGAGAGAGAGAGAGGAGAGAGGCGAGAGCGAGAGCGAGAGAGAGAGAGAGAGAGAGAGAGAGAGACTGTAGTGGTCCTTAGACCCTTCTTTTAGTCCCTCTGTGATCAGGCATGTCATCCTCCATCTCCAGGAGAGATCAACAGCCAGGCTTAACATGAAGCTTGAATGATCGTTGAAGAATGCCCTGATATGTCCATCTAATCCCTTCACATGCATTAAAAGCACAGTCTCAGGGATAGATTGGGTATCTTCATGTGCGTGTCCCAAATGGCTCCCTATTCCCTGTATAGGGCTCTGGTCAAAAGTAGTGCACTACAAAGGGAATAGGGTGCCATTCTCTGGTCAAAAGTAGTGCACTATAAAGGGAATAGGGTGCCATTCTCTGGTCTAAAGTAGTGCACTATAAAGGGAATAGGGTGCCATTCTCTGGTCTAAAGTAGTGCACTATAAATGGAATAGGGTACCATTTGGGACACAACCATGGTGAATGAATTGGATGTCTTCGTGTCTCGTGTCCTCCACCGTCTGCAGGTTGGAAACAACCGAACGCATCCGGTTTTCAGGAGAAATGGAAAGCCTGTGACGCGACTTCCGCTTCAGGACATCAACAAGGTGACACTCCATCTTAACTCCTCCTCCACATTTACTGGATTGGTTCAACAGTGCAGAAGAGAACCTCCCCCGACAGTTATTTTTTCTCGTCAGGACCAGAAAGAGAGAAACGCCCGCTGCGTTAGGTTACTTGTCACTTATGTGCATGGTACACATGGAACATGAGTCAATTGAACCAATATAATGATTGTATAAATACTTTCAGAAAACACATTTTTTCTTCTCAAATTAAAGGCAAAAACGAATGACCTGTTCTGACAATACCATGCATACTGCATGTTAATACTTTAGACTCGAGGTGATTAGTAGCCTGCCTTCAATTACTGGAAGTATACTGTATAATGAACATAACACAGTGAATTGATGTGCCACCGATGAACAACGCTTCATTTAGCATTAGCCTTTCACAAACAACAATAATAAAACCATCAAAAGTCTCATTACTCTGAAATTAAATGTGACTCTACGTACAGAATAAACAACGGCCCCATTAAGTCTGTTTGTTTGGAGTCTTGACTAATGCATTGGAATAATGCTAAACACCCCATTTATTCATATGAGTCATTCAGGCTAGTGCAGTCAGGGAGCGCGTCCCAAATGGGCCCTGGTCAAAAGCAGTGCACTATTCAGGGAATAGGGTGCCATTTGGGACACAGCCAGGGGCCTGGGTTCTTAGGGATGGAAGGCGTTTCTCTCAGGGGATGGAAGGCGTTTCTCTCAGGGGATGGAAGGCGTTTCTCTCAGGGGATGGAAGGCGTTTCTCTCAGGGGATGGAAGGCGTTTCTCTCAGGGGATGGATGGCGTTTCTCTCAGGGGATGGAAGGCGTTTCTCTCAGGGGATGGAAGGCGTTTCTCTCAGGGGATGGAAGGCGTTTCTCTCAGGGGATGGATGCAGAAAGACACAGGGGTGAATCCTAACAAATGTTCACGTAGTCGTGCAGTGATGTCAATGGGAGACTAAGTGAACATTTGACATCTAAGGATATCCTTTAGAAAGGTCAGTTATGAATGCATCAGCATAATTGTCATTTTAAAAAATTGACTGTCCACACAACGTGGCAGTAGCACCTAACGACCTCGTCTTTTGTAATGACTACAGGTACAATTAAATACTTTTCTAAGACAAAAGTCAGGGCTTAGATTTTCAGTTCAACCATAACTGGAGTTATCCCTGTATCCACACAAACTCTGTGAACAGGGGTCTGTTCCAGAAAGCTGGATCAATGAGTTAACCAGCTAACTGTCCAAAATTGCCTGAAATAACTTCATAGTTTTGAGAAATATGGACTACAACAACCAATTTAATCAACCAGAACATCAATAGTGTCACGTCTCCTCCCGTTGCTCCCCTCCTGTGCTCTGATTCGCCGGTCTACTGAGCGCACCACCTCGGCAACACCGGAATGGAAACCCAACGCACCCTAATTACCTCATCACCACCCCTATATAGCCCTGGACTGTTCAGTGTGATGTTGTGTGTGATTGTTAGTGTCATGTCGTGTACTCGCTCTTTGTTGTTCTCTTGCTCAGTGTTCAGTAAACCTTTACATTGTTGATTCCTGTGTCTGCGTCCTGCCTCTTCGTATCCTCAGTACTCGTCACAAATAATTATATGTGGCTGTTAATCAAAGTTAACTGGCTAAATTAATAATCCTGCTTTCTGGAATACCCCACTGGCTTGGTGCAGTGCAGACACAAAGCCTGCCCGATGGCAGTTTGCATTCTCCATAGGACCTAGGACACAAACAGGATTAGACTATCACTTGGCAACGAACAGAGCTGCAGTCAGATGACTAGGAGAGATCCTCAAGGCAGAAGAATGAGGAGGAAAATAGGCCTGCCATTTTGAGGGCCATGTTCTAATATAATATAACGTTCATTAGATGTGTTGAGAGCAGAAAGGTACTGCATTGAAACCCACAAGCACAGCAATTAACATCAGTCATTGGACAAATATGATTGTTTTCCTATGACATGATTGGGTGCTGTGTGTCCTTGTGTTTGTGCTTCTGCTACATTCTATTGGACAGACACAGAACAAGGGTGTGGGCCAATCATCTATATCCAAAGACAGGTCCTATTGGCCTATCATTACATTATCAAAGTCAACCTATATGATTTTAAAACATCAGTGAAGTCCCCAGCTTCTTCATTACTGCTTAAAAGGTATTCTCAGAAAAATAGATACAATTGCTTTGAAGTGCACTTTGCAGACATGGCTAGTAATCAATCAATCATTTCAGTATACATGCTGTTCTTTTTACCTGAGATCAATCAATAAACTGGGAAAGTGACAATGTCCTAAGTTTGCCTTCAGAGTGGCTCTATGAGGCGTGTGACGTTTCCCTGATTGATCTCAGGTAAAAAGACACTGCATGCATACTGAGATTATTGATTGATTACATTTACATTTTAGTCACATCTGCAATGCTGCAAAGTGCACTTCAAAGCAATTTTATCGATTTCCGAGAAGACTGGGATTAGACCTCACTTCATCTCACAATAGCCTACAAGCAGCCCTTGTATCAATGCTGTGGTGCTTTATGTAGATGTTATGCTAACTCCTGAGTGGCGCAGTGGTCTAAGGCACTGCATCGCAGTGCTAACTGTGCCACTAGAGATCCTGGTTCGAATCCAGGCTCTGTCGCAGCTGGCCGCGACCGGGAGACTCATGGGCGGCGCACAATTGGCCCAGTGTCGTCCAGGGTAGGGGAGGGAATGGCCGGCAGGGATGTAGCTCAGTTGATAGAGCATGGTGTTTGCAAAGTCAGGGTTGTGGATTCGATTCCCACGGGGGGCCAGTATAAAAAAAATATATATATATATGTATTCACTAACTGTAAGTCGCTCTGGATAAGAGCGTCTGCTAAATGACTTAAATGTTATTTATCTCTCTGCTATTGCTCTGATGGAATGCTAGCCTAACCCTAGCGGGGTCACGTTAGAGAAGGCAGGTAGAGACAGATACTCACTCAGGACAGGCGGTGTAGAAAGACAACAGATATAATGTCGGTTTACTGACAGATGCGTGGTACACAACAGTGGTGGTGCTGTTGCTCCAGTGTCACGGCGAGATCAGAGCTAATGCGAGTGCACACCATATACACCAGATTAACCGGGGCCTAAACACCCGGAAAGGGAGTATTCAAACACACAACATACTGTAACAATGGGCTGGGAAAGTAATGACGTGAGTTAGAACCAAAAACTTAGATCATCTTTGAAAGGCGCAATGCTCGTTTACCATTAAAAACATTATTTTATTTAAGCAACTATTAAAAGCTTGACGTTTCGGCCTTCAATGGCCTTCATCAGAACCTGTTTATTTATCAGCACCTGTTCTGATGAAGGCCGAAATGTCAAGCTTTAAATAGTTGCTTGAATAAACTAATGTTTTTAATAGTGAGCAAAAGAATTGCGCCTTTTCCTTTTCAAACATTTAATTAGAACCAACAACTCACACCTAAAACGGTGGAATCGTCTCAATTACTTGGATACTTATGTATTGCACGTTACTTGTTACCATCGAAATAATAATAAAACATTGGTGAAAAACATATGCCTTTTTACACATAAATAACAAGCAAAGTAAGGACCTGTATGACCGCACTGTAGATTTGCTACAATACTATATCACTGAATAAAACAAGCAACCATCTGTAGCACAAGTATTGGTAATATCGCTTCCCTTAAAACGCTCAGAATTACACCACTAATATTTACAATTTATGTCAGTGACATCTAAGCATGAAACCGTAGTGCATAGTGCCATGGCTACAGTTGATAGAGCATGGCGTTTGCAACGCCAGGGTTGTGGGTTCGATTCCCACGGGGGGCCAGTATACAAAAATAAAAAAATAATAATAATATGTATTCACTAACTGTAAGTCGCTCTGGATAAGAGCGTCTGCTAAATGACTAAAATGTAAATGTCATGGCCTATCCGATTGATCCTGGCTCTTAAAGACACAGTGCCACCTAGTGGGGACATATGGAAGGACAGAGATCCCCTGCCTAGAACGAGATGGAGAACAGATTACAGGCCTTAGCCAATGCTCTTTGAGAAACAAAGGGACTCACTACTAGTACGTAATATAACTATTGGTGAAACATGTAAACAGGTAATAAATAAGTACAAGTGATTGAGACTAATAACCCTGTAATAACTATACCAAAAATATCTAATTAAAAAGACACAGATGTTAATGGAAACAAAGCACTACGGTTAAGACATTAGAGCAACGCAGAAGTAATATAGTCCTCTAGTACTTTCTGCTTTTCTTTGCAAAAAATGTTGTTCTTCTTCAGATGTGCCATCTCGCTCTCAAGTGATCGTATTTTACCCATGGTGCTTTCCTCTCTCCTATCCAACGCCATGATCTTGGTGTGGAGGCTGGCGATCTTACTCCACAGCTGTTCCTTGTCCGTGTCCTGTTTGGAGTAGGAGTGCTCGTACACCGAGATGTGTTCCCCCTCCCCGGGGCCCTCCTCCTCGTCTCCGACCCCCTCCTCCCTCCGTAGCTCCAGAGGGAAGATCCTAAACGTCTGACCGAGGACCGCCTGGAGGGCGTCCACTGTGGCTTCACATTCCGAGAAATGGCCGACAGGGCCGACGGATTCACAGCAGAGCACAGTCACCGTGGAGTCCAGTGTATCCAGCTGCTGCAGTGTCTGTGTCTCAGCAGACAGGTTCAAGCAAGAGGCTGTCAGTATCCCACCACTGTCTCCAGGCAGTTCTCCGGACACCTCACACACTGCAGCCTGGGTCTCTGAGAGCATCACCTCCCCCAGGACCATTTCACTAGGAGTAGAGGCCTCTGCGTCTGAAACAAGCTGTCTTTCATATAACAGGGTAGTGACCGTAGATTCACTGGCATCCTCAGGGTTAGGGACAGGAGGGCCACTCACCACGACTGGTTCCACTCTGACTCTCCTTCTCAGAATCAGAGGTTTATTCTTGCCAGGAGGGGAGGGGGAGCGGATGAGTTCAATGTTGGCGTCGCATATCCTGGTTTTGGGCTTGGTGTTCTTCTTACTAGTGGAAACTGTTTTCTCTTCATCCTGAGGGGAAAGAGTGATGGTAAACACGAACAGAAATCATGCTATCATATTATAGCCATGTATAGTGTGTATAGTGTGTTAATTTCTTTATTTTGGGGATTTGTGTGTATTCTTTTGTATTATTAGGTATACTGCATTGTTGGATCTAGAAATAAAAGCATTTCGCTGCAAAATATGTGTACGCGACCAATACAATCTGATTTGATGTTGCACTTGCAATTTAACAAATTCCAGGGCTGGGGTCAATTCAAATTCAAGGCAGTCAATTCAGGTAAACTTAAAAAGCAATTCAAAATGTGAAAAAACAGCATCTATTTTCAATGACTTCTCAATAAACTGAGGAGTAGAAGCTATTTATTTCAGAAGTTTTTCCATTGTTGAATTTTAAATTAAAATAAATTCCTGAATCGACTGCCTTAAAATTGAATTGACCCCAGCCCTGATGAATTCCAAAGAAAATATCCTAACACAATGCTTTGTCCACTACAATGACGATCAGTGTAAAGTGCATGATCAACCCAATGTGAAACTCTAATATCAGTCACTATTCCAGAAATGTGCATTAAGACTTCTGCTAGTTTTGTTGTTGGGTGTCATAGAAGTGGTGTGTGTCTACTGACGTCATGTCTGTGAGGGAAGACGGTAGGGATGGCAGTGTGTTTCAGGTATCGGATCCCCCATCGCAGGTCAAAGCAGTCCTCAGTGAAATGTTCACTACACAGGTACTGGTGTCTGCTGGGGGTCCACTCCTCTCGCTTCATGTTGTCTACCCATATCTGCAGCCTGGCCTCATCTTGCAAGGGGAACCTGTGGGGAGACACAACAGGAATATGTTGGTAACATAGCTACATTTGTTGACATGCCCTAATTAGATTTGTCAGCCCCATCCAAATTCACAAGATTACATAAAAAGCATTGCTTCCATACTAGTGTTTGTGTTTTTCTATGACAGCTAACTATTTGTTTTGAGAGCACTGCTGGATACACAACGCTAGCGAGTAGCCAATATGATCATGCTAGTTAAGCTAGCTAGCAGTAGGACTGTATCTGTACATATTGAAACGTGATGGGAAAATAGTAAATAACCTACGGGTAAAAGCTTAGTCTCTTGTTTTCTTTAGAGGGTGTTCCGCCACGGTTTTTGCACAGTTTTACAGCACAGTAACGGGGCATATTTCACCTGAAAATACATGAAACGTTTGTACACGGAAGTCTTTCTGTCTTCCTCTCCTGTATGGCTGCGGCACAGAAGAGAGTTGCTGCGGCACGTGAGTTGTGGCTCACACTATCCAAACTACCCTGCCCTCTAGCGCTTGGCGGTGGAACTGTATCTTTCCCACCAAACGGAGCCATATACTGCATTTCGATGTTACAGTTTTTCCCAATTGCTAAAACACAATTTTGCAAACTAGGCAGGTTTTATCAAAATACTTAACACCATTCACAAAACCACACACCCAAACTGCAAAATACCTCATATATCCTGCAAAATGAAGCACTGCAACCAAAACTACATATAACATTATCAAAATCAAACGTTTGCACGAAATGGCACACACTTCATTCATATTACCAGATTTTTGTCTAACCAACTACACACTGTTGGGCATAATGAAAAGCACACTCATCTTTAGTATGCTTTGCCATAATACTAAAATAGTTCAAATTGTAGAAAATTCTTCAGATTGTTCACATGCACAGAAATATTTGCAGATTTTTTTTCACCAAACAACTCAGTGCAACATATGCACAGCAGATATATTTACATTGGACTGAACAAAAATATGCTCACAAAAAACAGTAAACTGAAAAAGAAAATTGCAGAAGAAATGTGCAGAAAAAATATATAGAAAAAGAAAAGAGGCAAGAAAAATAATTAGGCAGCATCTTGCCGCACAGCTGGGTCTGGCCACAACGCCTCGTCCACATCACAGGCAATATCTTCCCTTGCCAGACATCGAGGGAAGAAGCGCCTTGAGTGCCTTATCCATCCCTGAATCGCACCCACATCAATCTCATCAAATCAAATCAAATCAAATTGTATTGGTCACATGCGCCGAATACAACAGGTGCAGACATTACAGTGAAATGCTTACTTACAGCCCTTAACCAACAGTACATTTATTTTTAACAAAAAAAGTAAAAATAAAACAACAACAAAAAAAGTGTTGAGAAAAAAAGAGCAGAAGTAAAATAAAATAACAGTAGGGAGGCTATATATACAGGGGGGTACCGGTGCAGAGTCAATGTGCGGGGGCACCGGCTAGTTGAGATAGTTGATGTAATATGTACATGTGGGTAGAGTTAAAGTGACTATGCATAAATAATGAACAGAGTAGCAGCAGCGTAAAAAGGATGGGGTGGGGGGGCAGTGCAAATAGTCCGGGTAGCCATGATTAGCTGTTCAGGAGTCTTATGGCTTGGGGGTAGAAGTTGTTGAGAAGTCTTTTGGACCTAGACTTGGCACTCCGGTACCGCTTGCCGTGCGGTAGCAGGGAGAACAGTCTATGACTAGGGTGGCTGGAGTCTTTGACAATTTTGAGGGCCTTCCTATGACACCGCCTGGTATAGAGGTCCTGGATGGCAGGAAGCTTGGCCCCAGTGATGTACTGGGCCGTACGCACTACCCTCTGTAGTGCCTTGCGGTCGGAGGCCAAGCAGTTGCCATACCAGGCGGTGATGCAACCAGTCAGGATGCTCTCGATGGTGCAGCTGTAGAATTTTTTGAGGATCTGAGGACCCATGCCAAATCTTTTCAGTCTCCTGAGGGGGAATAGGCTTTGTCGTGCCCTCTTCACGACTGTCTTGGTGTGTTTGGACCATGATAGTTTGTTGGTGATGTGGACACCAAGGAACTTGAAGCTCTCAACCTGTTCCACTACAGCCCCGGACATGCCTCTTCCATAGCCTGCACAAGAAGCATGCGCACAAAGGGCTGCCGGTCGTATACCTTCCACAAACCAGTTTTGGACTGGGGCTGCACGATGAAAGCTCACGTTGTCCCATACTACAACGTACCGAGTTCTTTGATGGTCTGCATCATTCATACTCTCTGGTGGTATGAGAATGTTGTGGAATCTGTCCAGAAATGTGAGGATATGGGCTGTGTTGTATGGTCCAAGGTTGGCATGACGGTGGAGGACCCCATGCGTATTGGAGATGGCAGCGCACATTGTGATGTTCCCACCACGTTGGCCAGGAACATCTATAATGGCTCTGTGGCCAATGATGTTTCTCCACCTTCTTCTGGTCTTTGCTAGGTTGAACCCAGCCTCATCTATAAAGATGACCTCATGTGGGATTGCATGAGCATCCATTTCCAGTACTCCCTGAAAACAAAGAACAAAAGCAGTCAATATGGTGTTATCCAGTACACTGGGAAACAATGTTGCGTGTAGTGTACTGCAGTCAATATTGTACTTACATCCACATATGCTCGTCTGACCTCTTTGTTTCTTTGAGAGTTTCTCTCAAACGGCACCTTATAAAGTTGTTTCATTCTGATTTGGTTTCGCTTGAGAATGTGAGCCAATGTGGACAGACTGACTCGTTGAATGTTGTTGAATATGGTGTTGTCTTGGATGATGTGGCTTTGAATTTCTTGTAATCTGATTTCATTATTTTCCAAAACCAAGTTTACAATGGCAGCTTCCTGTACCCCGGTGAACATTTGGCCCCTTCCTCCACCATGGTTGCGTCTCTCAGTCCTTTAGAAAAACAAAAAAACAAAAATATAGGGCTTGGACAATGCAGCCTAAAGATATTTCCCCCACATTAGAGTAAATTGTACAGGAAACTTGTGCAGTTAGTGTATGACATCAGCCATTCATGAAGTAAACAGGTGTCACCCAACTGATACACTATGGCATGGGGTGTACTACATAGTGTGAAATAAATGTTGGTTACATACCTGTACTCCAGTCTAAATGTCCGGATGACACAGGCGACAGTAAAACGGCTCAAGTTGGGCTACACTCTCTGTCCAGCCTCTCGCATTGTCAGCCCATGGTTGATGACATGATCAACTAAGGTTGCTCTGATTTCATTTGAAAGTTGTTGTCTTCTTTGGCCATGAACTCCTCTACCAGCTCTACCCCTACCTCTCACTCTTCCTCCCCCTCTCATTCTCACCCTCCCTCTTCCTCTTCCTCTTCCTCTCTCTGCAACGTCTTCCATTGTTGTGGTAAAACAAAAGGCGCTCACCTGTGGTCTTTTCATAGTGCTTACTTCCTGATTTAAGTGGTAACAATTAACCATTGAGGTGTTTGGCCAGGTGGCACATGGTGGCCTATTAGCTCATGTAGTGTCATTTTGAATGGCAGTGTTTTGAAATGGCAAACATGTGACTTTATGTCAGATTGTTGTGTCTTATGCAGAGAACCATGTGCAGTGCATTTAAAAAGTGCCATTTTGAATTGCAAAATGTGTGTAAAGCAGAAAATGTGTTTAGACTTTTGGAGACTTGAGAAGAGGTTTTGCTCTCTGTGTGTCAGTTTAAATAATTGTGCTGTGCATGTCATTTTAGTGTGTTAGCAATAGGAAAAAACTGTAATTATGTCTCTCAAACAGTGGAGAATGCTGACGGGAGGACAGCTCATAATAATGGCTGGAATGGAGTGAATGGAATGGTATCAAACACATGAAAACCATGGAAACCATGGAAACCACATGTTTGATACCATTCCATTCACTCCATTCCATCCATTATTATGAGCTGTCCTCCCCTCAGCAGCCTCCACTGCTCTCAAAACATCAGTTTGTTGTTCTGTAGCAAAGCCTAAAAAGCATGCTGACTTTGTGTGTCACAAAATGTAGGTTATCCCTACCATGGCAGACCCGGGATTCAAACCCACGCCATAACGATAACATTGTCCCATAGGCTACTAGGACATAGGGTCCAGGACTACAGTACTTCAAGTATCAGGAAAGTAAGTAGGTAGGTAGGTAGTAGGTGGGTGTGTGTGTGTGTGTCTTCATGCGTTGGTGTGTGTGTGTGTGTGTGTGTGTGTGTGTGTGTGCCTTCATGTGTGGGTGTGTGTGTGTGTGTGTGTGTGTGTGTGCCTTCATGCGTGGGTGTGTGTGTGTGTGTGTGTGTGTGTGTGTGCCTTCATGCGTGGGTGTGTGTGTGTCTTCATGTGTGGGTGTGTGTGTGTGTGTGTGCCTTCATGCGTGTGTGTGTGTGTGTGTGTGTGTGTGTGTGTGTGTGTGTGTGTTTGCACAGCGACAGGTGTAGCTAATTATTAAGAACAACACGGAACTGGACTCTGTTCCCAAGGTGATGGAACCAGGAAATGGCACCTACCAAGTGAAGCATTACCTTAACAGTAGTCAGGCAGATAGGGAGGTGAGAGAAAATAGGTTTGGCTGCCATTGCTGTTGCCCGTCGCCGTGTGAGTGAGAAGTAATGTGAGAAGTTACCACAAATCAAATATCAGGAAGACATCATGAAGGTGGACGACAAGTTTCAAATTCTGAAATTCTTTGCAGCAGTTTTCAACTCTGTTTTCCTGGTAAGAACAAAAAAAGATGGAGAATTCAACCTAACCCTAATCTTAACCAACTAGCATTCATCGTCTGAATTTTCTTTAAACGATCGAGAGATGTGGCTTTGCCTCTCAACATTAGGGCTTGATGTACTACATATGAAAGTGACATGCAGCTTTCTAAATCCACTACACAGATTCTGGGGCTCTGTATCTTTGGATGTGCGGTATGGATCTTGTTTGACAAAGACAATTTCATTGCTGTTCTCAGCTCTGGTAAGTTATTCTGGACAGAGAATTGCCATTTATCACATTTCAGAGTTTCTATATTAACTCAAATGTTATGAGAGAGACAAGGGTATGATTGTTCCTCTGAAAACACACTGAAACCTGTATTTTTGTTTGTGTGTGTGTGCTTGTGTGTGTGTGCGTGTGCTTGTGTGTGTGCTTGTGCAAGTGTGCGTATGCTTGTGTGTGTGTGTGTGCGTGTGTGCATGTGTTTGCGTGTGCGTGTGCGTGTGTGCGTGTGTGTGTGTGTGTAGTTGAGGTGAAAACTGTAGCTGGGGGACTGTTCATCATCGGACTGATGGTGGTTGGTGTCACTATTGTGGGGTGTGTGGGAGCCCAACTGGAGAACAGGTTCTTCCTGCTACTGGTGAGTGGTCATGTTACAGTCATAATAACGCAAACACACACTAGTGATGCGTGGGTTGACTCATAACCCGTAGTCCCCGCGGTTATATCCAGGGGCCGGGTGGGTTTAGGGTCATGAAATATTGTGTGGATGAAGGGCGGGCGGCAGCAGCGGCAGGTGGGTTGAATAAAGAGAAAACAATGCATAAAGAAATCCATCAATGTATAATTATTGCGCAATTCATGTCTATCAATAAATAAATACATGTTCAAGAGAAAAAAAGGGAACTGTACAGCGTATTTTCTATATTGGCAGGTTAGGGTCGGGTGCGGGCCTCAGATTTGCACTTTATCACATATAGTCGGGCGGTTGCCAAAACTTATCCCTTGAAATTCGACATTTATGGACAAACGTCTGATTCTGCAGTGAGATTGTGAGAGCTTGTTGGAACAAACAGCTGACCCGCGCATCACTAACACCAGACCCGTCGCCAGACCTCAGTCTTAAGGGGGGCATATGAAATGCATGGGAGGGCAGGGCACAATTATTATTAGCCTACAGTACGTATATTTATAATAATCGTATACTCTATTTGCGCAGCACGTAATCATCACATTAAACATAACCAGCATACTGAGTCACGTGTGTGTGTGTGTTAGTCTAACACACACACACACACACACACACACATGTGACTCATCTTAAGCTTCTAGTGTATGTGGTGATCTAACTGATATTAGTCAACTCTCTGTCTTATCTTTCCTCTCAGTATATGGGCTTCCTGATCTGCATCGTCCTTGGTCAGCTGTTTGTCACCTTCATCATTTTGTTATCGCGTGAAAAGGTATGTCCCGGACCTTGCATTAAGCGTCTCAGAGGACATGTTCTGTATTAACATGTTGTTGCATAGTACTATGATAACTCCTTTGTTGCTACATAGACAGACAGACAGACAGACAGACAGACAGACAGACAGACAGACAGACAGACAGACAGACAGACAGACAGACAGACAGACAGACAGACAGACAGACAGACAGACAGACAGACAGACAGACAGACAGACAGACAGGCAGACAGGCAGACAGACAGGCAGACAGGCAGACAGAGACAGACAGAGGCAAACAGACAGACAGGCAGGCAGGCAGACAGACAGACAGACAGACAGACAGACAGACAGACAGACAGACAGACAGACAGGCAGACAGAGACAGACAGAGGCAAACAGACAGACAGGCAGGCAGGCAGGCAGGCAGACAGACAGACAGACAGACAGACAGGCAAACAGACAGACAGACAGACAGACAGACAGACAGACAGACAGACAGACAGACAGGCAGACAGGAAAACAGACAGACAGGCAGGCAGGCAGACAGACAGACAGACAGACAGACAGACAGACAGACAGACAGACAGACAGACAGACAGACAGACAGACAGACAGACAGACAGACAGACAGACAGACAGACAGACAGACAGACAGACAGACAGACAGACAGGCAAACAGACAGACAGGCAAACAGACATACAGACATGTGTTTTGCTCTTACAGATCACATCAGAGATGAAAATGGAAGTGAATAAGACCATGACTGAATATGGAACAAACCCTGACAATCAACGACATTGGAAGCTTCTGGATGATGTACAGCGCTATGTATGTATGACAGCAATTGTGAAATATGGTCCACATTAAAAGTCAAGATGAGGCGAGGCGAAACTGACCAATTGCGTGCATGCGTGTGTGTGAATGTGTGTGTGTGTAGGGGCACTGCTGTGGTATGCAGGTTCCTAATGACTGGCAGGGGAACTTGTTCATTATGAACACCAGTCTGACAGAGGTGTTTCCCTGTTCCTGTTTCAACACCACGGACTGTCCTGCCATCTCTGGATACAGCACAACGCTGTTTGGAAATGGAAATGAAACACACATCCATCCACAGGTACAGACTCTCTCTCTCTCTCTCTCTCTCTCTCTCTCTCTCTCTCTCTCTCTCTCTCTCTCTCTCTCTCTCTCTCTCTCTCTCTCTCTACACACCACACACATTACGTTATGGTATGTTAGTCCATCGTATACCATGATGACTTCCACTTTTGAGTTAACAGTGAATTCTTTGGTGACTGTAGAGTCCAATCCGAGATCCACAAACTTTATTGAAGGTGGGGCATGTGCAGTCTGTGTTGGTGGGGGCAGCATGGTTGTATGTCTCAGTCTGTGTTGGAGGGGGGCAGCATGGTTGTATGTCCTCAGCTGTGTTGGAGGGGGCAGCATGGTTTATGTCTCAGTCTGTGTTGGTTGAGGGCAGGCGGTTGTATGTAGCAGTCTGGTTGGTGGTGTGGCGGCAGATGGTGTATGGTCTTCAGTCTGTGTGGTGGGGGCAGCATGGTTATAAGTTCAGTCTGTGTTGGTTGGGGGGCAAGCATGGTTTTATAAGCTCAGTCTGTGTTGGTGGGGGCAGCGCTGGTTTTGTTCTCCAGTTGTGTTGTGTTGGCGGGGGCAGAAATGGTTGTATGTCTCAGTCTGTGTTGGGGGGGGCAGCATGGTTGTATGTCTCAGTTCTGGGTTGGAGGGGGCAGCATGGTTGTAGGTCTCGTCTGTGTGGATTACTGCAACTCGCTGTTGGCTGGGCTCCCTGCCTGTGCCATTAAACCCCTACAACTCATCCAGAATGCCGCAGCCCGTCTGGTGTTCAACCTTCCCAAGTTCTCTCACGTCACCCCGCTCCTCCGCACACTCCACAGGCTTCCAGTTGAAGCTCGCATCTGCTACAAGACCATGGTGCTTGCCTACGGAGCTGTGAGGGGAACGGCACCTCTGTACCTTCAGGCTCTGATCAGTCCCTACACCCAAACGAGGGCATTACATCCACCTCTGACCTGCTGGCCCCCCTACCTCTGCGGAAGCACAGTTCCCGCTCAGCCCAGTCAAAACTGTTCGCTGCTCTGGCACCCAAATGGTGGAACAAGCTCCCTCACAACGCCAGGACAGCGGAGTCACTCACCACCTTCCGGAGACACTTGAAACCCCACCTCTTTAAGGAATACCCGGGATAGGATAAAGTCATCCTTCTACCCCCCCTTACCCCACCCCACCCCCCCCATCTGTGTTGGAGGGGGGCAGCATGGTGTATGTTCAGTCTGTGTTGGTGGGGGCAGCATAGTTGTATGTCTCAGTCTGTGTTGGTGGGGGCATCATGGCTGTATGTTTCAGTCTGTGTTGGTGGGGGCAGCATGGCTGTATGTCTCCTGAGCTGTTTTTGCCGTTTCTTTGTGCTCCTCTCCTCCTCCTCTGTACACCGCTCTGGCAGAGCTGCCGCCAGGTGGAACGGTCGGCAGCAGCGTCCTCTAGGTCAGTGGGTTTGATGTTGCACTTCTTCAGCTGCGTTTTCAGCTGGTCCTTGTAGCGCTTCATCTGTCCCCCTGCAGACCGCCAGCCAACATGTAGCTGGCCATACAGGATCTTCCCCAGCAAGCGCTCCTGAGACATTCTAATGACGTGCCCAAGCCAGCGCAGTTGGTGTCAGGTGACCATGGCCTCCATACTCTTGCAGTTGGTCTTAGCAAGTGATTCCCAGGATGCACTGCAGGCATCTTATGTGGAATCGCTCGAGCTGCTTGTTGTGGTGACTGTAAGTGACTCAGGCTTCACAGCTGTAAAGAAGTGTGGTGATGCAGACGGCTTGATAGAACAGCTGTAAAGAAGTGTGGTGATGCAGACGGCTTGATAGAACAGCTGTAAAGAAGTGTGGTGATGCAGACGGCTTGATAGAACAGCTGTAAAGAAGTGTGGTGATGCAGACAGCTTGATAGAACAGCTGTAAAGAAGTGTGGTGATGCAGACGGCTTGATAGAACAGCTGTAAAGAAGTGTGGTGATGCAGACGGCTTGATAGAACAGCTGTAAAGAAGTGTGGTGATGCAGACGGCTTGATAGAACAGCTGTAAAGAAGTGTGGTGATGCAGACGGCTTGATAGAACAGCTGTAAAGAAGTGTGGTGATGCAGACGGCTAGATAGAACAGCTGTAAAGAAGTGTGGTGATGCAGACGGCTTGATAGAACAGCTGTAAAGAAGTGTGGTGATGCAGACGGCTTGATAGACGACGACTTTAGTGTCGCGGTGGAGAGGCTGTTTTGGAAGACCCTGCGTCTGAGTTTCCTGAAGGCAGCTGATGCTTGCTTGATCTTGTTTTGAATTTCGAGGTCGATGCTTTAGTCCTCCGAGAGGATGCTGCCCAGGTATTTGAAGGGACTATTGCCAGTGAGTTGTGTTCAATGGTGAAGACAGGCATGGTGGTTGGAGGGCTGGATCACCATTGGCAGACCACCTCTGTCTTGGTGGTGTTGATAGACAGTCCCATCCTGCTATAGACCCTCACAGCCGCTACAAGGACGGACTGAAAGTCTTCTGGAGTGTGGGCCACAAGAGCAAAGTCATCAGCATACTGCAGCTGCTGTCCTCAAGCTCCTTGTGGAGAAGCTGGGTGACACATAGGAGGAAGATGTGAAAGAGTACAGGTGACAGCACACACCCCTGCCTCACACCGATGCTTACTCCAAAAGGCACTGACTCCTGCCCTCCTATGGCCACCCGAGCCATCATCCCATCATGGAACTGGCAAAGAGAAGAATGCCCCATAGTAGTTCCCTGCTCACAGTGTCGAAGGGCTTGGAGAGGTCGACAAAGAACATTAAAAGGTCCTGATGTTGTTCACTGCACTTCTCCTGGAGTTGCCATGCCGTGAATATCATGTCGACCGTACTCCTGTTCTTTCTGAAGCCGCATTGTGACTCTGGCAGGTGTTCCTCTGTGATGTTGTCCACCAGCCTGTGTAGCATCACCTTGGCCAGGATGGGATTCCCCCCCCCCGGCTGCTGCCGCAGATTGACTTGTCACCCTTGTTCTTATAGATGGTGACAATGTTTGCATCCTGCCACCGTTCGGCGGACGATATCCCGATCCCAAACCTCAGTGATGTACTGGTGGAGAGTTCTGGTGTAGAAGTAACTTCCCATCTAAAGTAGCTCAGCAGGGATGCTGTCAGCGCCAGGAGTCTTGTTGTTCTTGAGCGAACTGATTGCTGATAGCACCTCTTGGAAGGTTGGCGAATGGTTGCGGTCTTGAATGAGTGGAAGGACAGGCAGTTCTTCCAGGATGGAGTGGTCTGTAGGAGAGCGCTGATTGAGCAGTGCTTCAAAATGGTCAGGCCACCTCATCAGGATCTGGTTCTGGTCCTTCAAGAGAGTCAGACCATCAGCTGTTTTCAGGGGGGTGATGGAACAACTTATAGGGCCATAGATAGCTTTAGCTGAGTTGTAGAAATTGTGCATGTCGTTTTTGTCGGCATTAATGTTGTTTGCACTTCCTTGCGTGATGCATGCCATTGCTGGCAGAGGGTAGCAGATGGGGCTGTTGAGAGTAGCCCTGTGCGCTTTGGGCATATTGTCCAGTAAGGTTGTGATGGTGTCCGAGTTCTCATCAAACCAGTTCCTGATGTTTCCTACCTCTGTAGCCAATGGAGTGTGCCGCTGCCTGTTAGAGCACTGATAGATGCCTACTTCTGGTCCATGGGGTCCTCTGTGCTCAGAAGAGGCTCAATCTCCTTCAGCCTTTCAGTGAGAGAGCGACAGAACTCGTCCCTTACTGCAGCTTTCTCAAGCCAGGTACAGTGCAGATGCCTCTTACTGGACTTCTGCAGGCGTTGGGGGGGGACGTATTCTCATCTGGAGTTTAGCCAGTATCATACAGTCCAGCATTCTGCACCCCTCATGGCACGTGTCAGCAGGACGTCATTAGTGTCAGAACGTCTCAATATGACGTAGTCGATCAGGTGCCAGTGTTTGGAGCGTGGGTGCATCCATTATGTTTTATATTTGTTCTTCTGCTGGAACAAGGTGTTAGTCACAATGAGATCGTGCTCGGCACATAGAGTTAGCAGTCTCATGCCGTTCTCATTGACCTGGCCAACACCATGCCTACCCAGCACTCTGCTCCATATCCTGTTGTTCTGTCCCACCCTTGCGTAGAAGTCACCCAGCAGAAAGATCTTGTAATTCCTGGGGATGCGATGAAGGGCCTCATCTAGTGACTGGTAGAAGCAGTCCTTTGCCTCATTTTCAGATGGTAACGTTGGTGCGTATGCACTGAGAAGAGTAGCATAGCGCATCTTGGCTAGGGGGATACGGAGAGACATGAGTCTTTCACTTATGCCGATAGGTGTTTCGGTGAGGCTGGGTAAAAGGCTGTTCTTAATTGCCAGTCCCACACAGTGCTGATGTTGTCCACCCAGAGGGTAACCTTTCCAGAAGAAGGTGTAGCCTTCTCTCTCCTCTTCCAGGGAACCTTCATCCAGGAACCTGGTCTCACTCAGGGCAGCAATGTCAATGTTGTAGCGCCTTAGTTCTGCACCAATCAGAGCTGTTCTCCGATGGGATCTATCGTTATTGTCATCAGTGTTCAAAAGAGTTCTGATGTTCCATGTCGGCAGTTTCAGGGGAATTATTTTCTTTAGCATTTTCCGACCGCCGAGTGGAACTCCCGATAGGTGCGGTAGCCTATCCAGGATGGAGTGAGTGGGCAATTTTTTGGCCACCTTTTCTAGGCCTCTCCCCAGCTGGGGTGAGCATTTTGGCTCCTAAATAGGGCTGCTTTGTCGTACCAGACTAACCCACAAGGCAGCGGGGCAGTGGTTGATGGCTGCCAGGGCGTGTCCACACAGAGGTGGGCCCGTACACCACAAGGGCTAGCCGGCGGCAGCGAGCTGTAAGTGAGAGTATGCAAGCATGTGGTAAGCGGGAATGCAACTTACCTCTACCTAGGCACTACTGCACTAGACGCGTCACAAGCACCCTGCGGTTGCCTGCTGACACACCACACACACACACACACACACACACACACACCTTTAATGTAGGAAAACAAGTGCACACTAACACACACACACGTTTCCCATCTGTATTATTTACCAATAGCCTGTAAGATGTGTGTATCAACAAAATGACATTTCAAGTGTGTGTGTGTTGCTACAGGGCTGTCAAAAGATAATCACTGATTGGCTGAAGGAGAACACTTTGACAATAGTGGGCATGGACATGGGCCTGCTAATCATTCAGGTAACACAGACACACACACACACACACACACACACACACACACCCACACACGCACACACACAACACACACACACATGCACACACACACACACATACAGATACACCCACCCACTAGTCCAATGTTCACATTTGTCTTGATTGACAGGTTTTCCAGTTTGTTGCTGTTGTTGTTGTTAAACAGGTCCTTGTGTTGGTTGTTTTCTTGTGACAGGTCCTCCAGTTGATAGTGTCTGTGTATCTATACCAGACTGTTGGTCAGAAAGCCAAGCTGAGATGTGTTAGTCAGCTGATTCGCTCTGAGGACCATCGCGAACCAAACCCTGACGACCTTGATGACCCTGACTACCCTGAACAAAACCATGCCTATCCTGAACCAAACCAGCCCTACGCACATACAAACCTCGCCTACCCTGAACCAAACCAGCCCTACGCACATACAAACCTCGCCTACCCTGACCAAAACCATGCCTATCCTGAACCAAACCAGCCCTACGCACATACAAACCTCGCCTACCCTGAACAAATCCTTGCCTACCCTGAACCAAGACAAGCCTACTCTGAGGACCAACACCAGGCCTACTCCGGACCAAACCATGCCTACCATCGCTAACCAGGAACAGAGTGTTGCTGTATGACTGAAGTCACTTTGGGATCTAACATCAAATTGCTCTAACTCTAAATGCTCAGTTCAGTGCTTTCAGCCACACAGGCCTTCTACTAAATATGTTTTTCTGCTGACAATGAGAACAATCTTAATTCATTAGTTTCTATTGTTTTCTACTATTGATGGAAGCCCTAACTGGTCAGCCGGACCTCACCTGGTGTGAATAGTTGTGTACTTTACTAGTCAGCCGGACCTCACCTGGTGTGAATAGTTGTGTACTTTACTAGTCAGCCGGACCTCACCTGGTGTGAATAGTTGTGTACTTTACTAGTCAGCCGGACCTCACCTGGTGTGAATAGTTGTGTACTTTACTAGTCAGCCGGACCTCACCTGGTGTGAATAGTTGTGTACTTTACTAGTCAGCCTGACCTCACCTGGTGTGAATAGTTGTGTACTTTACTAGTCAGCCGGACCTCACCTCGTGTGAATAGTTGTGTACTTTACTAGTCAGCCTAACCAGTTCTTTGGAAATGTAAAAATAAAGAAGGGTACCACCATTTTGAAACTGCAAGCCTACTCCACCCTTGACTAATATGAACTATTGAACCTCTTTACATATCACAATACTATTTTTACATCTGCAGATGACCCACGTTAACAGTGCTGCCTTTAAATATTTAATTGAGTTTGACAGTACTATAATTGTGTGATGCCTGACATTGGTGATTAGTGATTGATTGTCTGTAAATTACGCATTAAAATCTTCTGAATTGGATTTCTTGATTCTTCACAATGGCACCCTCTCCTGGTTATCTTGAGGGACACAGGTGCGTTTTATACATAGAGAGTGGCATTCTGTTTGTGAGATGTGGTGTGAGTGGTGTGTGTATAGGCCTATGGATTGCTTTGATTAAGTTCCATTATGTGTCTTTCATATTTTAGTGAAAACCATGAGGGAAGGCATGAGGGAAGACAGGTCAGATGTTAGGTACGGACTGGGGAGGATACAGGTAGAGGAAGACAGGTAAAGACCGGGGTCAGATGTAAGGATCAGGGAGGATACAGGTAGAGGAAGACAGGTAAAGACCGGGGTCAGATGTAAGGATCAGGGAGGGTACAGGTAGAGGAAGACAGGTAAAGACCGGGGTCAGATGTAAGGATCAGGGAGGGTACAGGTAGAGGAAGACAGGTAAAGACCGGGGTCAGATGTAAGGATCAGGAAGGATACAGGTAGAGGAAGACAGGTAAAGACCGGGGTCAGATGTAAGGATCAGGGAGGATACAGGTAGAGGAAGACAGGTAAAGACCGGGGTCAGATGTAAGGATCAGGGAGGATACAGGTAGAGGAAGACAGGTAAAGACCGGGGTCAGATGTAAGGATCAGGGATGGTACGGGTAGAGGAAGACAGGTAAAGACCGGGGTCAGATGTAAGGATCAGGGAGGGTACGGTAGAGGAAGACAGGGTAAAGAACCGGGTCATATGTAAGGATCAGGGAGGATACAGGTAGAGGAAAGACAGGTTAAAGACCGGGGTCATATGTAGGATCAGGAGTATACAGTGAAGGAGACAGGGTAAAGATAGATGATACTGGAAAAGAGTTAATATACTGTATTATGGTTGATGTGAGGGGGAAGGGGGAGGGGTAAGCGAGGGGTGAGGTAGGGGGTGGAGGGTGTGAAGGGGGAGGGGGTGAGGGTTAGAGGGGGAGGGGAGGGGTGAGGGTTAGGGGGGAGCGGGTAGGGAGGGAGGGGGTGGGTGAGGGTATGTGGGAGGGGGTGAGGGGATGGGAGGGGGGGAGGGGCGGGGGTAGGGGTGTGGGGGGGGGATATGGGGGTGAGGGGGAGGGGAGGTGTGAGGGGAGGGGGTGTGTTGGGGTGAGGGGGGTTAGGGGAGGGGAGGGGGTAAGGGTATTGGGGTGAAGTGATGTGGGGATGTGGTAGGGTCAGATTTATTTAGGTCAAAATGACTGTTTCCCTTTCTGACTTGTGGTGGGTTGTGTCTACTGTAGTTGTTAATGAGTAACTGACCCACTCCACCACTCACACCCATTGGCCACTAGTCCATCCATACAGACAGACAGACAGAGAGGGGTATTTGACCGCTGTGTCCTCGAGGTTGGAGGACATGACAGTGTTCAGAAGCAGCGTTCAGGTACAGGTAGGAAACTCTGAAGTTTTTAAAACCATAATTGAAAGCAATTGCATAAAACTGTTATAGATTTGGTCTATTCCTGACTAGTTTGATAGTTATTATGACTCTACCAAGGCAGATGGCAACAAATGAGAATATGATGATTTGATTGCTGTAGACCTGTTGATAAGATTACATTAGAAAGCTTTATTATACTCAACGACGACATTTGAATAATGGCAGAATTAAAACAAACACAATTGAATCAAACATTTAAAACAAACCTGAATCAGTTGTACATGAATGAGTCATAAAATGACATCCATAAACAGATGATAGCAGATAAACTGTAGTAAGCTATTGTCCACAAGCACACACACACACACACACACACACGCACACACACAATTGTTTATTGATTGAAAACAATCCCTCATTTGTCTTTTCCTATCCTACTTGTCACGCGCAGCTGTGTGTCAGTCAGCTGTGTGTCAGTCAGCTGTGTGTCAGTCAGCTGTGTGTCAGTCAGCTGTGTGTCAGTCAGCTGTGTGTCAGTCAGCTGTGTGTCAGTCAGCTGTGTGTCAGTCAGCTGCAGGGATGGCGCACCACGAGCAGAGCACAGCCACTTTCCCCGAGCTCATCCGCAAGAAACGGAACGGTGAACGGCTGAGCGCGGGGGAGATCCGAGACTTCGTACAGGGTGTCAAGTACGAGACCATCCAAGAGAGCCAGATTGGTACATACACACACACACACACACACACACACACACACACACACACACACACACACACACACACACACACACACACACACACACACACACACACACACACACACACACACACACACTGCAGATAGGAAGACCCCCACACACACTTTAGACTGTGTATCAATAGTCAAGCTAAGGCCAAAACCTGCGCTCTACAGTTGAAATGCTGATGTGTGTGTTTGTGTGTGTGTGTGTGTGTGTAGGAGCCATGATGATGGCGATCTGGCAGCAGGGGATGGTAGCGGAAGAGACTCTCGCACTGACAAAGGAGATGATGATGTCAGGGGAAGTGATGTCATGGCCGGCAGAGTGGAAGGGGCTAGTAGTGGACAAACACTCGACGGGTGGAGTGGGGGACAAGATCAGCCTGGTGCTGGCTCCTGCTCTGGCCGCCTGCGGCTGCAAGGTACCTGCCTGGATACACCTGTGTGTGTGTGTGTGTGTGTGTGTGTGTGTGTGTGTGTGTGTGTGTGTGTGTGTGTGTGTGTGTGTGTGTGTGTGTGTGTGTGTGTGTGTGTGTGTGTGTGTGTGTGTGTGTGTGTGAACCAGTGGAGGCTCCCCAGAGGAGGCAGGGGAGGACCTTTTTAGATAAAACTATACTAAATATATTCACGTCACCAATTAATTTATTAAAATAAAGGTCTACAGTAGCCTCAACAGCACACTGTAGGGTAGCACCATGGTGTAGCCGGAGGACAGCTAGCTTCTCTCCTCCTCTGGGTACATTGACTTCAATACAAAACCTAGAAGGCTCATGGTTCTCACCCCCTTCCATAGACTTACACAGTAATTATGACAACTTCCGGACCCATCAGAGCTCTTGCAATATGAAGTAAGAGAGAGAGAGACAAAGAGAGAGGGTGAGAGAAAGAGTTATATTTTGTAGTATTTTTTTGACTTAGCTAGTGAATGTAGCTAGCTAATTTAGCCTACTCAAACACCCGGTTCAAACAGAGAGGGATGCTATGGCTCTGGCTATCCAACACAGGAACTCTTCCAAGTCAAGGTAAGCTTTGGTTTTATGAATTTATTGCCACCGGGGCCCACCGGTGTAACTGCTAAACTGCTTGCTGACTGTACACTATACTGCATGATTGTAGCGCGTTTACTAACGCTTGGTAAGGTTTTTTCGCCTGGTCACAGACAGTTGTTGTATTGTGAAGTCCACCAGCGATGGGGAAAAGATGAGAGGAGGAGAGAGCGCACATGCGAGAAGGAATTATATATAAAACGAGCAAAGTGATCATGCTGTTTATATGTGGCTGCTAGTTCTGTGTTTGCGTGTGATCAGGGGTCTATTCATTCCACCGATTCTGTTAAACAGAAGCAAACGGTATGCAATATGAAGTGTAAACGTGTCTGTGTGTGCGTCAGTGCATGTGTCTGTCTGTCTGTGTGCGTGTGTGACTATCAGCAGCTGTGTCCATAGGTGCCCATGATAAGTGGCAGAGGTCTGGAACATACAGGCGGCACGCTCGACAAACTGGAGTCCATCCCTGGCTTTAACGTCTATCAGTCAGTACAACAGGTACTGTCTCTCTGTCTCTGTCTCTGTCTCTGTCTCTGTCTCTGTCTCTGTCTCTGTCTCTGTCTCTGTCTGTCTCTCTCTCTCTCTCTCTCTCTCTCTCTCTCTCTCTCTCTCTCTCTCTCTCTTCTCTCTCCATTCTCTCTCTCTCCCTCTCTGTCTCTGTCTCTGTCTCTCTCTCTCTCTCTCTCTCTCTCTCTCTCTCTCTCTCTCTCTCTCTCTCTCTCTCTCTCTCTCTCTCTCTCACAAACATACACACACACTTTCACTTACGAGTTATTAACCTGTGATATTGTGGCACCATCCTCAGCTGCAGCGAATCCTGGAGGAGGTTGGCTGTTGCATTGTAGGACAGACAGATAACCTGGTGCCCGCTGACAAGGTCATGTACGCTCTGAGAGACGCTACGTCCACTGTCGACAGCCTCCCGCTCATCACAGGTCTGCCAACAACAACAACAACAACAGCAAACTGGACTACCTTTCAAAGTAGAGAAATTAACATCTGAATACTGTGTGTGTGTGTGTGTGTGTGTGTGTGTGTGTGTGTGTGTGTGTGTGTGTGTGTGTGTGTGTGTGTGTGTGTGTGTGTGTGTGTGTGTACTCCAGGCTCTATCATCTCTAAGAAGGGTGCTGAGTCTCTGAGTGCGTTGGTTCTGGATGTGAAGTTTGGGAATGCAGCTCTCTACAAAGACCTGGGCAGTGCCAAGTCACTGGCCCAGTCCTTGGTAACCCTAACATTAACCCCTGACCTTTAACCCATTCTTGTTGGAATTGCTGGAGGGCCATGTTTTCACTCCTGCCTTGTACATGATTGATCAAATAAGGTCATTGATGAGTTAGGAACTCACCTGGTTGTCAAGTCTTAATAGGACATACCAAAAAAGCAACAGACTCTCCAGGACACCCCTGATCCAACTCCTGACCCCTGACCCTTACCTTGACCCCATTCCCTCCTGCAGGTGACAGTTGGGAACAGTCTGGGGATCCGTACGGGGGCGGTGCTTAGTCGTATGAACTGTCCTATTGGTCGCTGTGTGGGGAACGCCCTGGAAGTGATGGAGTCCCTGGAGTGTCTAAAGGGGAGGGGCCCCGACGACATACTGGAGCTGGTCACAAGTCTGGGTGAGGAATACACACACACACACACACACACACACACACACACACACACACACACACACACACACACACACACACACACACACACACACACAGTGAATTGGTTCCTTTGGACCAAGACCAAGCAGACCAAGACCTAGTTAGAATGTCAGTGCTGCTCGGGCTTAGCTAGAGTCTATAAACAGAAGCTGTGGAAGTTCCAAGTCATTCTTAAGTCTTTACCTTCAAATTCAAGTCAAGCTTCTGTGTGTGCGTGTGAATGCTTGTGTGTGTGTGTGTGTGTGTGTGTGTGTGTGTGTAGGTGGGATGCTGTTGTGGATGACTGGCCTTGCAGGGAGCATGGAGGAGGGTAAAAAGGTGATCGCTAGGACCCTGCAGAATGGGTCAGCCCTGGAAAAGTTCCAGAACATGATGATTGGTCAGGGAGTAACCAGTCAGATCGCTGCATCCCTCTGTTCCACCTACGCAGACTACCACAGCATCCTGAGACGGGCACGCTACCAGTCAGAACTGGAGACACAGGGCCACGGTAACACACACACACACACATTCACACAGGTACAGATACACAAATGCACACACACACGTATACACTGCATGACTTTGGCTTTTGTGTCTGCAGGAACAGTGCTGGACATAGACGGCATGGTCATTGCTACGGTGCTGCACAGGTTGGGGGCGGGACGTTCGAAGGCCGGAGACCCTGTCAATCACAGCGTGGGGGCGGAGCTTCTGGTGTCTTTGGGACAGAATGTGGAGAAAGGTGAGAACTCTCTGACCCTGTGTGTGTTTGTGTGTGTGTTTTTGAGTGTGCGCGTGTGTTAGTCGGGGTGTGAGGGGTGTAGGGGTCTGTGCCACCCTAATCTGACCCGACCTTTGCCCTCTGACCCCAGGGCAGCCATGGCTGCGTATCCACTACGAGACTCCGGTGCTGAGCGCAGAGCAGAGACTCAGCCTACAAGGGGCGCTGACACTGGGCCCTGCCGACCAGCTACTCACACAGCCACTAGTGGCAGAAATCATCCTGCCGTAGTGACACCAATCCACTCTATGTTAAAGCTTGATTGGAAGATGACTTGCCTTTGGGAATCCCAGTGTGCCATCTATTTAAAGGATGTATACTTCAGAACTAAAGCAAGCATGGCAAGTCCTGCGCAGAGAAATAGACTGGCCTGTATCTCCTGCTCTTTACACACTCTCAGAGTCCTCTCTGAACCACCCATATAAAGTCACACAAGATTCTGTGAAAACTGAAAAGATGTTAACCATTTCCAGGAACTGTCATGAAGCTCAAAGTTCATCCAGAAACACACACAGTAAGCCAAGACAGATGTTGATCTACAACTGACTGTGTGACATTAGTTTCACTGACAGTTTCGTTAGTGTGTTTGTGTAGGGCAGGGGTCGCCAAGGATTTCCTTCAAATCACCAGGAATTCAGCAAAAAATGTGTTTAATTTAGGAAATCTGTTCCCAAGTATCCCACGAATAAAAACAGAGACATGATCATGTCTCAATGCAATCAAGGTATGAAATTATTGTTATTTTCAAATACAATCTCTTTTTGGGCTTAGTTGTGGTACATTTTCAGTGTACAAATTATTATAACTATGTTCCGGCCACCTGACCATCCACTCCGCCAAAAATCTAGTTGCCTACCCCTGGTGTAGGGTGTATGACCTCTGGCAGGGCTCTAAAGTGCCACCAAATGTGTAGCATATTCTACCAAATATTTTGCTGTGCAACTTTGAGTTTTATTTTGGGAACACTGCAACAACAAAAAAATCCTATAAAATATTCAATGCGTAACAATATTTCACCGCAACATTCTCACTCTACACTGCTCAAACAAGACAGGCTGAAGCCCCGCCCCCTGTCACTCAACACTCTTCTCTACCGAAGATTTTATAACTAAACCAAATAGACCACTGCCTGTCATTTCAAATGGGAACAAATGAGTGATAGTGGGCAGAACAAGCAAGAAGGTGGGCAGAGCAAAGCACGAGCTAGCGAGATCCTAGTGAACGCCTACTCAATTCGCCTTTGCACTCCTTCTAAACAACTGATTTTTTTTTTACTTTGACAAAGGGTAAATTCTGCAAAACTTAGTCCACTCTGTTCATAACATATTCTACATTTGGGAACAGAAAACTGTATTGAGATCAAATGTTTCATAGATGAGAAAATGTGCAGAATGTCCATCTCGTTCCATCTTCTCCCACTGCCGGCTACTGGGCTTCCTCTCACTACCATATTTGGTAGTGAGTGGAAACGCCACGCGGATGCTTCACATTTATACATCTGGTGAAATATCTGTCTCATTGTTCTACATGTGTCTGTACACTGCTCAAACCAGACAGGCTGAAGCCCCGCCCCGCCCTGTCACTCAACAGGCAGGCAGTACACAGACAGTTCCTCCACGCTGTGCCTGTTTCTCTCAGCATGCACTCAACAGATTCTTCCAAAACAACAACGATACTGCTTTCCAAGTTGCTTCTAAATATGAATCCACATAATCCACACATCTCTATTATAATATCAAAAAAATACATGAGCCTAACAACCTGGTAACTTTAATATTATGCAAATGTTTAGTGGAACAGAAAGAAAGGAAAAAGGTTGCCTTCTTCAGATGTGCTTCAAAAGTAAGTAAGATTCATAAAGGCCCAATGTAGGCTACATCTCAATCAATATACAAATGTTTTGCAAATTGAAAATGAAATACAGAAATACAATTGACATAAATATTCACACCCCTGAGTCAATACTTTGTAGAAGCACCTTTGGCAGCGATTACAGCTTTGCGTCGTCTTCGGTATGTCTGTATCAGCTTTTCACATCTGGATTTGGGTTTTTTCTCCCATTCTTCCTTTTCTCAAGCTCTGTTCTGTTCTCCATCTCTGTTAAATTAGATGGGGAGCGGCGGAGAACAGCAATCTTCAAGTCTTTCCACAGATTTTCAATGGGATTCAAGTCTGGGCATTAGCTGGGCCACTCAAGGACTTTCACATTCTTGTTCTGCAGTCATTCCAGCGTTGCTTTGGCTGTATGCTTGGGGTCATTGTCCTGTTGGAATGTACATCTTTGCCCCAGTCTAAGGTCGTTTGCACTCTGAAGCAGGTTCTCATCAAGGATTTGCCTGTATTTGGCTCCATTTATTGATCCCTCTATCCTTGCCAGTTTCCCAGTCCCTGCCGCTGAAAAGCATCCCCATAGCATGATGCTGCCACCACGCTTCACTGTAGGGATGGTGTTAGATGGGTGATGAGCTGTGCCTGGTTTTCTCAACATGGTCTCAGAGCATTTCGTATTATTTTGTGTGTATATAAACCCAAAACACTCCATTTACGATGATATGTTACGTTTCGTATGGTATCTTAATTTGTGGATGTCCATTATCCATTTTGTATGATTTGTGACAAATTACAATTTGTACGATATGTTTCAAATTTGTTAAACGTATGATATGTCACTAATTACAATTTGTTGTTGCTAACAGCTAGGTGGCTAATGCTAACTAGCTCTAGGGGTTAAGGTTAGGGGAAGGGTTAGCTAACATGCTAAGTAGTTGCAACGTAGCTAAAAAGTCGTTGCAAAGTTGCTAATTAGCTAAAATGCTAAAGTTGTCCGTGATGAGATTCAAACACACAACCTTTGGGTTGCTAGTTTTGTGTTATACGCCCACCCATCCACCCCGACCTTAAGTAACCATACCAAACATATCATACTAATTACAGTTGTCGCAGAAGTACTTTTACTGTTACGTCTAGTCTATGAGACCAGTCAGTGTTCTCTCCAGACATATCGCTTTGCATTCAGGCCTAAAAGTTACATTTTTATCTCATCAGACCATAGAATATTTTGCCTTTCGCCCTGTGTTTCGCATGCCTTTTTGCAAACTCGAGGCGTGCTGTCATGTGCCTTTTCTCAGGAGTAGCTTCCGTCTGGCCACTCTTCCATAAAGCCCAGATTGGTGAAGTGCTGTAGAGACTTGTCCTTCTGGCAGGTTCTTCCATCTTAGCCAAGGAACGCTTTAGTTCTGCCAGAGTGGTCATTGGGTTCTTGGTCACCTTCCTGACCAAGGTCCTTCTTGCCCGGTTGCTCAGTTTGGTCGAACGGCCAGCTCTAGGCAGTCTGCTTAGTTCCATATTTTTTCAATTTCCAATGATGGAGACCACTGTGCTCTTGGAAACTTTCAACACTCTAGATATATGGCTCATCTCAGAGCTCTAGACAGTTCCTGCTCTGACATGCACTGTCAACTGTGAGACCTTATATAGAGAAGTGTTCATTTCTAAAAACATGTTTTCACTTTGTGATTATGGGGTATTGTGTGTAAAAAAAAATCAATTGAATCCATTTTGAATTCAGGCTGTAACACAAAATGTTTAATAAGTCAAGGGATATGTATACTTTCTGAAGGTACTATATATCAGCCCCTTCCTCCCTCTTTCTCTCACACACACACACACACACACACACACACAATTGTTGTTGAGTAACAACACACACTTCATGTTTAACGAAACACACTTTATTAAAAAATATCACCACAAATTCATCACCATCCTAGCGTTAGTCCCCTGGGTCCTTCAGGGTGGAAGATAAACTGTGCTCTTCAGACAGGGACATCACTTATGGCTGAGCAGGTGGTGATAAATGAAACACTACTCTATTTCTAGCTTTCTCTTTCACACACACACACACACACACACACACAATCCCTCAGGTGTAGGGGTCAGTAAACCACAGAGTTGAGAGGTCAGTGGACTATAGAGTTAAGAGGTTCAGCACGGATGTTCCCAAGGTCCAGCGAAGAATCTGTGTCCTCGTCAATCTCCCCAATCACAGCTCTGCAAAACAGAGGAGAGCAGTTGGGCCTGGGTGTCCTACTGTGTGTTGAAGTCTGATTCTCCCCCTCCTATCCAAAGTGTCCACTTAAAGTGTTCATTCCCCTCACGGTTTCAGAAATGTCGACACTCAGTCTCTTTACCAATCCAAGTCCTTGATGGGGAATGAACGAGCGCACACTTGGGGAAGCGGGGAAGAGAATCGAACTGGGTTACAGTGAGGGGAAGAGGTCATAAGGGGTCGTTTGGGTGAAAGTTCAACCAGGGGTCGATAGGATACTTACACGTTGTCTCCTCTGACGATGTATAGTCCCAGGACCACCTGCTCCACGCCCTGAGAGGAACTGAACACACGCTCATGACTCTCATCCAGAATCAGGTTGATGGTCTGGTCAAAGCCCTTCAGGGTACCCTGCAAACACACACACACACACACACACACACACACAATCAGATTAATGGTCCAATCAAAACAGTACACACACACACAATCAGGTTTATGGTCCAGTCAAAACCCTTCGGACACATACAGACACACAGATCTGGAGCCGAGTATAGCAGTGAAGTAGCTAGAGACATACCACTATCATCCGTCCATCTGATGTAACTATGGCCACTGTACCTGAAACACAACAGCTAAGGAAAACATTTGGAACACTATTTCCAACCTGGGCTCAGGGGTAGACGTAACATAGTAAACGTAAATCTGTGACACTCCAATTCGTATATATGTTACATTTCGTATGGTATGTATTCATTTGTGGATGTCCATCATCCATTTTGTATATGTTACGAATTACAATACGTATGATATGTTACTAATTCCAATTTGTTGTGGCTAACGTTAGCTAAGCTAGGGGTTAAGGTTAAAGGGTTAAGGTTAGCTAACATGCTAAGTAGTTGCAAAGTTGCCAACTTGAATGCTTAAGTTGTCCGTGATGAGATTCGAACACGCAACTTTTGGGTTGCTAGACGTTGGCGTTATACGCCCGACCAACCACCCTACTTTCGTTTTTTACTTAAGTAACGTTCTGTCTTATGTAACCAAACGTGACATATCATACTAATTTGAGTGTCCCGGATTTACGTTTACTATATATTACGTCTAGTCTATCACCTCGATCAGACCAACAGCTTCAATGCGTTTTGGTACATTCATTTCCAATGGAACGCTGCACTTGCCTTGCAACATTGCGTTGCAGAGGCAGTTGTAGTGCATTCTGTGTGGTACATACACTGAACAAAAACATAAACGCAACATGTTAAGTGTTGGTCCCATATTTTATGAGCTGAAATAAAAGATCCCAGAAACTTTCCATACGCACAAAAAGCTTATTTCTCTAAAATGTTTTGCACAAATTTCTTTACAACCCTGTTAGTGAGCATTTCTCCTTTGCCAAGATATACCATCCACCTTACAGGTGTGGCATATCAAGAAGCTGATTAAACAGCATGATCATTACATAGGTGCACCTTGTGCTGGGGACAATAAAAGGCCACCAAAATGTGCAGTTGTCACACAACAATGCCACAGATGTCTCAAGTTTTGAGGGAGCGTGCAATTGGCATGCTGACTGCAGGAATGTCCACCAGAGCTGTTGCCAGATAATTGAATGTTCATCTCTCTACCATAAGCCACCTCCAACGTCGTTTTAGAGAATTTGGCAGTACGTCCAACTGGCCTCATAACCGCAGACCACGTGTATGGCGTCGTGTGGGCGAGTGGTTTGCTGATGTCAGAGTGTCCCATGGTGGCAGTGGGGTTATGGTATGGGCAGGCATAAGCTACGGACAACGAACACTATTGCATTTTATCAATGGAAATTTGAATGCACCGAGTTACCGTGACGAAATCCTGAGGCCCATTGTCGTGCCATTCATCTGCCACCATCACCATCAACTCATGTTTCAGCATGATAAAGCACGGCCCCATGTTGCAAGGATCTGTACACAATTCCTGGAAGCTGAAAATGGCCTGCAAACTCAGACATGTCACCTATTGAGCATGTTTGGGATGCTCTGGATAGACGTGTACGAGAGAGTGTTCCAGTTCCCGCCAATTTCTAGCAACTTCGCACAGCCATTGAAATATGAAAAATGTATGCACTCACTAACTGTAAGTCGCTCTGGATAAGAGCGTCTGCTAAAATGACTAAAGAAAATCAAATAAAAATAAAAAAAGAGGAGTGGGACAACATTCCACAGGCTACAATCAACAGCCTGATCAACTCTATGCGAAGGAGATGTGTCACTCTGCATGAAAATGAAAAAAGTTTGACTGCAGAATTGATGTAGTATTGATGCAATGACGCTACCGGTCTGATCGACACCAGGCTGCTATTTCATGAGAAGCTGCGCATGCAGCAATACTGTCTAACTGCCGCCCATGCGCGACAAATCCATAGTTAGCTTGCTCTTATAAACTGGGTGGTTCAAGCCCTGAATGCTGATTGGCTGAAAGCCGTGGTATATCAGACCATATACCACAGGTATAACAAAACATTTATTTGTACTGTTCTAATTACGTTTGTAAACAGTTTATAATAGCAATAAGGCACCTCGGGGGTTTGTGGTATATGGCCAATATACCACGGCTAAGGGCTGTATCCAGGCACTCGGCATTGCGTCGTGTTTAAGAACAGCCCATAGCCGTGGTATATTGGCCATATTCCACACCTCCTCGGGCATTATTACTTAAATATCACATTTGGATGAACATGCACCTATGTTTGCTTCCAAAATAATTTCAAGATTTTTTATCGTCGTTTTATTAACTAACTAGCTCGCAGGTACAAGTCATTCTACCAAAAAGCCATATGTGATGCTATTGCTAGCTAGCTAACGTTAGCCAAGCTCAATCGAGCAGGCCAAAGCACCCACGGCCACGCATCAATAATCACGCGATTCATTAGCAAAAGTCCCATTCAGTGACTGTTCCAGAATGAATTTAGTTGAAAGGATACGGTTGATGTAGCTCTCGAGGGCAGTCGACATGATGACAACAAAATACTCGTTCAAATCCGCCGGGTTTGTTTGGAAAACACAAACGTAGATCGCAAAATCGGCGTGCAGGCACAAACCGGAAACAGAATCAGACCTGACTAGATGATTGCAGATCCACTAGTGATTTTTGTGTCCAGAAGGTGACGCCAAATCCACAGAAAAAGAGTGTCGCTCCGTTCTTTATACCTCAGTGGTATCGCCATACCGACCTATGAGTTTACCAGACCGCCCTTTCTAGAGATAATGGGCTTGTTCGACATTGCAGACGATTGCCGACTGACTAATATACAAATCACCTTGGATCATAATTAACTTCTGAATATTATTTGTAGATAATTCAGTCACCATTTACCCACAATGCATCATGGATTTGATGCTCTCCAACCAAAGGGACCAGGGTTCCGGTCTAGAAGTATGGTCTCAACTGCTCCTACAGTTTTGCTTTGGTACTAGAGTTTAACTGACACTGGCCCAGAAAGACAATTTCCATAGATGGCCACATAGAGAAGTCAGATTTGAAAATTCATATTAAAGACACTTTAGTCATAACCTTTGTGCAGAAAACAGCGATTTAATTATTTGAATAATTGTCACCTGAGGCCGATTTTTTTCCAGCTCTCACAGCCGAAGATAACTGTCCTGTTCCAGAGCATCAAAACCGTGATGTATCATGGGGAAATTATGACTGACTGATCTACAAATAATGAGTTGTTATTTATGATGCAAGGTGATTTGTAGATCAGTCAGTCAGCAGTCACCTGCAATGTCGAACAAGCACATTAACATTTTAATGTTCATCCAATGTCTGCCATGTTTTTGGATGATGTAATCGCTGCTCCCTTTGCGCATTGAGTGCTAGTGCAGATGTGATGTTGGTCCGTATAAAACAGATGAAACCCGGTCATGAAGAATGTCAGTAGATTACCTTAAACAACAGTAGGACATCTTGGATGTAGTCTCTAGTGCTCATTATACCTCAGTGTCTCAAACACTGCTTCTGTTTCTATGGTATACTGCACTTGGCTCACAGGAGTGACTTCATCAGAATCTTTCACTCTGAAATACATTAGCATGAATGTACATGATTTTTGTTGTCAAAAAGGCAGTTACTGACATAAATAAATACAAATATTGGGATTTAAATGTTTTATTTCTCACTCATTCTTACTCTTTACAAATGTATATGACATTAAATAAGCTAATGTGACAGACAGGGCTGTTGTTGTTATGAAATGCATTGGACTGCTTAAAACAGCAGTGTTAAGGTCTCCTATGTCTCGTCTGGTTAAAGACAACAGTCCCTGTAAGGAAGTGAAATACCCATCCACACTATGTAATGTAGTGTTAGTACTATCTCTCCTCCAACAGAAGACAGAAGTCTGTGCTGTCAGTCGATAGCCAAATAATGTCATCTACATGAGCAGTGTCCGTTCACCTTTAATATATCCATCCGTCACCAGTTGAGGTCTCTCTCCTGCGTTTAGGCCAGGTGTGGTGAGTTGATATGGAACAAGTGCTGATCTTGTAGACAAGAGGATCGGCAAAGTAAACAAAACTGTGATTAAACGGGATAGGACAGAAGTATTCAGGAAAAACTCCTGGCCTTGTGTATGAGAGATGTCTAGTCCAGGTTGCCGGGATACGGTGTAGTTCATTGGTCGTTGTTGTCCTTTCCCAGCTGAAGCCCGTCCTAGCCTGGTCCCAGATCTGTTAGTGCTACCTTGCTCCTTGCTCAACTCCTATGGCCAATTGGCATCACAAAGACCATATGAGTTGGCAGAAACAGATCTGGGACCAGGCTACTGTTTTTCCTCCCATCTCCCCTCACTGTCCCGGCCAGGAGGCCCTGAGGTTGAGCAGGATGAGGACGTCGCAGGGGGCCAGGCGGTAGACCCCCAGCTCGTTGAGGGCTGACACAGGGCTGGGCTGCTGGCCCTCCGGGGTCCCTGGTTCCTCCTCGTCTTCCTCAGCCTGCCTCAGGACGTCTCGTAGAAGAAGAGCTGAGCCCACGTTCAGAGACAGGATGACGCAGGCCTCCTTCACACTGAGGGAGGGAGACATGATCAGTACAGTTAGTATCTGGCCATTTGATAACTTAATATTTACACAAAAATGATTTGATAAGGAATTCATCCTCTGTGCAGGACATTTAATAGCCTAAGGAACTACAAACAAACTGTAGGTCTCTTTTAAAGGTTATGGTACAGTGGACAAGGTTTTCAGGTGATTTTATCAGCAGAATTGCCCGTGTGTAATGGCCACTCACTGTTTGAAGAAGTTCTCAGGCCTCTTGCAGTAGTGTCCGAACAGAGGGAAGAGGTTTCTGGTCATGTCAAATTGGAGCTGGGCCGCACCACCTTCGTTGAAGTGGTTATACAGAATCAGCTGAGGGAGACGGGTAGCAGGTCCATAAGTTAATAGAGATGTGATAACCAACAAAAATCTCTATTGCTTCATCCTATTTCTTATGTCTGTGTTTTATCATTAGAATTAGTCAGTAGCCATTGTAGTTTTCATGTATTTGAGAACATATGTGTCTAATGATGTGTGACAATCTAATTGGCTTCTTTTAAGTCACTCCAGACAATAGCGTCTGCGAAATAACTAAAAGTTCAAATATTTCATTAACTCAACCATCTCATTAATTCCTATTGGAGCAGGCCCGCAGTGTGACTCACATCCTGGTAGAGGAAGAGGTCCAGCCTCTCAGACAGGCCCTGCCAGCCCATCTGGAAGAGAGGCTGACACAGCATCCGCTGCAGCTGGAGCAGGTGGTCCCTGAGACACAGCATGAGAGGACAGGCTGAGCTGGACAGGGACATGGTGGCCTGGTCACACTGGGACGGCAGGGACAGCCACCTGGGAGGAGAAGGATACACGTTAGTGCCATTCGAGTTAATATTTTGTTGACTCCAACACTTTGTTGTTCAATTGTGTATATGGTGGCTGTAGGTGATGATCTGAGCTCTACCAGATTCTTTCAAGGAATCCCATTTTATTCCTACTGTCCAGGCTTGTTACAGGACAAAAACATTTGTCACAAAGTGCGTACAATCAGCCTGGGGCTAAACACCAAGCAAAGCAAGGCGACAGTGTGTGGCTAACTCCACAGATAGGAGTACACCTTGAGAGGATCTAGATTCAATAGAAAGAGCCCTTCCTCTAAGTGAAGAGTGTCTCCACTGACCTGTCTCTGCAGTAGGACTGGGCCTTCTCCCGTACGTCCCTCATGACAGCCTCTAGTAGCCTGCCCAGCATGTCTCCTCTCAGCCTCTCCAGCAGCCCCAGGAGCCCCTCAAACAGAGACCCCTCCAGAGAGGCCAGACGGCCGGACTCCGTCACCCCCAGCGGCCCCAACAACTCCTCCTCCCCCAGGGCCACAGCTGACTGCTGCAGCTGCAGGAAGAACTGAGGAAGAAGAGAGGAGGAGGGTGGAGAGCAAATAAAATTGAACAGCCTTGAAGAAGACCTCTGGAGCACTGCGGTAAAAGGAGGGAGCATACCCTAGTGTGAAGGTGTTCATATGTGGCATTTTCTGTACCCTTAACCTGGAGAATTGTTGGATGTGCATACTACTTCTGAACTGACAACAAATGTACAGACAGTCAGACAGACAGGGACAGACAGACAGGGACAAGCAGACAGCAGGCAGACAAAGACAGACAGGCAGACAGACAGGCAGACACAAGCAGACAGGCAGACAGAGACAGACAGGCAGACGGAGACAGACAGAGAGACAGTATGTGGAGAAGTACAGCAACAGTGTGATGACTCCGAGGGGCCACGTACCACATTATCTCCCCAGTCCCCCAGCACGGTGGAGATGTAGTTGGCAGCGTTGAGGATGGCACAGTATCTAGCGCCCAGCGGGTTGCGAGACTCTTCCTTCATGACCTGGGTGAGGCGGATACGGAAGTCGTCCACCAGCTCTCTCTGTAGCGCCAGGAAACGCAGCTGGGCACGAGGGCAGGGGAGGGCACGGTAGCGGTCTGGGAGGGGGAGAAAAACTGATTGAGGGAGAGAGAGAGAAGAGAAAGAGAAAGAGAAAGAGAAAGAGAAAGAGAGAGAGAGAGAGATGAAGTGATAAAGTAGTTAATAATCCTACCAGTGATGACCAACAGTAAGGTCATGAAGGTCTCAGCGCAGTCTGGAGCCTTGAGTTCGTCCATGTCACTGATGTCTCTGTACTGGGAGCTCCACGCCCCCTCAGCAGACAGCATGGCATCCACCTTCTCTAGCGCCACTACAGGGAGACAGACAGTTGGGATGAGCACACATCACACATTCAGTCAATCAGATACACTGACATAAAATAAGTCTAACAGATAACTAAAATCCCACATAAATCAATCTCTTAGTCAGTCCTAAATGGCTTCCTACCCCTTTCACATCACCCAAACCCTTCAATGTTTGCAGATCTGTAAGGTGGAAGCTATATGGTGGAAGCTCTGCCAGTACACTGCTTATACCTATCCAGACCCTTCAGATCTGCAAATAATGGAGGGTTAGGGCCAAGGGGAAGGAGTAGGGAACGATGCGAGACGCTCCACTGCTGCCTCTCTCACTCACTCTTCCTCTCCACAGTGAGCCACTTCTGCAGCACGACCTCCTCCAGCAGTACATGCAGCGCTCCGGGCAGGGTGCTGGGGTAGGAGTGGGTGCTGCGCAGCTCCCTCTCGAACTGCAGGATCTCATCCACCAGGTGGCAGAAGAGAGCGTCGTCGTAGAGCAGCCGAGGAGCGTCCGACGCTAGCTTCTCCTGGGCCAGGGTGAGTAGACCACGACACAGCTCCACCTGGTGGGGACGGGAGGGATGACATGAGATACTTCGATAGCTAGAACCATACTTTTAATATTTATATTAATATAAATGCTTATATCCTCTAATATGACTGTGGATATCAAGAGCTGCTATGATTGACAGTTGACTGCAATGGACTCAGCTTGCCTTTAGACTGCTTTGAATCTTGGGGATGAACAAATACTTCAATAGCACATAAAGTCAGGATTCTAGATGATCATTTAGTGGCTGATCCTCTAACCTTGGCGTTGACGTTAGCTCCATTTCTGTCCAGAATGGGCTGGATCTTCTCCTCCATGAAGTTGGAGCTGTTCCCCATCCACATCAGGACCTGGGTCAGGAACCACTCTGGCTGTATGGAGACAGAGACGGGAGGTTATTATTATTATCATAGTGTGTCTGTGTGTGTGTGACATGCTCTGTGTGTGTGTGTTGCTCTAACCTTGTTGAGTGAGTTGGTCTGACGGTTTCCAGTGAAGTGGTATCGAAACCTCTTGCTCAGAGGAAGCAACATGATCTGGACGGGAAGAGACAGGGGTGTCGTCGGGGGCAACCCTACACGGGACACAGAGGGCGGCTTCTCTGAAATGAGATCATCACTGAGATAGAGGTTAAAGAAACTGGCCAGGTATTCATCTCAGTACAATGTCTCAATGTAAAACGATAATATCAATATCAGTCAATGTCTTAGGAAGTGTGTGGGGAACAGTATGTCTGTGACTGGGTATGTATGAAGTATGAAGCTAGTGTATGAAGAAGTGTGCAGAGTTTATATAATGCACTGTTTACGCCACAATAGTGTATAACAGTGTGTATAACAGTGTGTATAACAGTGTGTATATATAACAGTGTGTATATATAACAGTGTGTATATAACAGTGTGTATATATAACAGTGTGTATATATAACAGTGTGTATATATAACAGTGTGTATAACAGACGATAATGCTAGTGTGTATGTCTCCGACACAGATAACACTATATCAGGGTGAAGGATACGAGGTCTGCAGAGACAGGAGCTGGGCCACCAGTAGTTCCAGCTGGCTGTGGAGCTCCTGAGCGTTGGCAGGGGGGGAGAGAGACTGGGTGGGAGGAGAGATGAACGGCCAGTGGAGCTGGGTCAGCAACTCCTCAAAATCACTGCCAGACAGAGGAGGAGTTGTTAAAAATAACATTCAGGTCTGAGGTAGCTTGACTTTGGATCATCATAATATCTGTGAATCACCAACCCCGGTCCTGGAGAGCTACAGGGTGTGTCTTACTTGTTCCGGCACAACACAAATACACCTGGTCAACTAATCATGAAGACTGAATTAGATGGGTTAGTGCTAGGCTGGAACAAAGGCCTGCATGGCCGGTTGCTCTCCAGGACCAGGGTTGCTGACCACTGATCTAAATAGAGATACTAATAACTAACACAGAGTTCTCCATCTCCAGTCCTTTTGCTCCGGCCCAGCATGCTAACACAACACAGTGCCTGCCCTGTCTGACCCTTACATACATACATACATACATACATACATACATACATACATACATACATACATACATACATTACAGTACAGTACATACAGTACATACATACATACATACATACATACATACATACATACATACATACATACATACATACAGTACATACATACATACATACATACAGTACATACATACTGTACATACAGTACATACATACAGTACATACATACAGTACATGCATACCCAGCCAGTCTGTCCTTAATGATCTTGTGCCAGAAGCGTAGTGTCTCTCTGAGGAAGGCCTGGAGATGAGAGCAGCCAGACTCCTTTAGGCCCACATCTAGACTGGCCATGCTGCCCACCGCCCCCACTGCCTCCCATATACTGTTGGTCATCAGACACTGCTGGATGCTGTCACTGTGGGAGGAGAGAGCGACAGTTAGCAGAACATGTTAACATACAGTAAGATACCATTTTGTTTGTGTGTATTCCAATCAGGTTCCTATCTTTGAATACTGTCAAATATATTGTCCAACTGCTAGAAGAAGAAAATATATTGTCCAACTGCTAGAAGAATAAAATATATTGTCCAACCGCTAGAAGAAGAAGAAGATATTAATACTGCTGCTCACCTGAGTTCTTCAATTCGTGACAGACACTGCAGGTATTTCATGTGTCTCTCTGTGTTGTCCAGCTGTCCCAGGGTCTGTCCCAGGCTGTCTGCCCAGGGCTGGGCGCCCTGCAGGTGCTGTATCAGGGTGTTGGACAGGACCCTCTCCCGCTGGAGCAAACCTTCCAGAGACACACGGGACTCCTCGGCTGCAGACAGTGCTACTGACACCCGCAGCGGCACCGAACTGGACACCGTCAAAACCTGAGAAGGTGGGTGGAGGAAGACCTGTCAGCAAGGGAAATGCACGCCCTTAAACTAGCTATCAAAGGTTAGCTAGCTGGATAGATCATTTTTTAAATTACTTACATTAACTAGCTGCTGTCAATGGGTAGAATAATATTCGCATAATTAACTATTCTATTATTTTCATTCAATAATTGATACAGCATTGAAAGCTGATTTGAGTGCGCAACAAAGTTAACAACGCACTAGCTAGCTTGCTAGCTACCTGCTCCTCCAGCAACTTGTTTTCCGCTGTCAGTTTCTCCAGGAGTGCGCTGACTTTCTTCAGCGACTTCAGATCCCCTCCGATTTCTTTCTCTATCAAGTCGACAACGTAGTCGGGGAGTGCTCCATCCCCCGATCCTGTTTCGGAGTCTTCATCATTTGTCGATATAGGGCTTTGTAGATCAGATTCATCACTTGGGCCGTCTTGCTGCTCTGCAGTGGGCGCCGCCATCTTTCTTCGGTGTCTCTTCCACGTCAACACAGCACGCACATGTAAACACAGCGCCAAACACAGTCGTCACCGTCAAGACACCCCCTCTATTGGTGACAGTTAGTACTGCGGGACCTGTCACGGGTAAACACTTCGGACATTTCCAAATATTACACAATCCATGCTTTCTTACCCTCCTCCATTCGTTGGCTTCGAGTACCACTGATATCATAAGTGGAGTGGTGAATGCTTCAGACGATTTACCGTAGATGTGTTATTTCAGTGACTACCAAAGGGAATTAGGAAGGATGTTTTCAAAACAAGACCCTCTTCAGTGTCAAGTGTCATGTTGACAATCAACATTAAGACCTCACACGAAACAACTGGACATACTGTTTATGCTCAGTTATGTAGTTGTTGAACTAATTAATTACCCAGAAAGGAACAGTTATTTTCCAGCATTTCAAACATATTGTAAAATACATATGCCCCCCTATCCTTCATTCGTACATCCTTTTCCTGTGAATGGGGAATATGCTTGAGTATGTTCCATTACTATCTTCCTCTGTGCAAAATGTGCTCGAGATGTTTTGCGGGGGTTGCATTGACATTGCTTAACAATTGGCCCTTCTCTGGATCCCTAGGGACCCAATGGCTAGCATCTCAAATAGCACTCTATTCCCTATATAGTGCACTACTTTTACTACTTTTTGACCAGGACCCATAGAGCACTAGGGAATAGGGTGCCATTTTGGATGCCAGATGCAACCGCTGGTGAGTTCAGAGATGTCCAGGAATGGCTGGTCATGTGATTTCATGTTCACCTACATGCCCTCCACCTGCTCTGGACTGGACCTCCTGGTGCACTGCTTACAATTTTTGAGGGCAGAGACAAATAGGTGCTTTTACGATGAGTTGAGTTAATTCATCTCTTATTGTCTCCCTTTTCGCCGTCTCTTTCTCGTCTCTCTCTCTCTCCTCTCTCTCTCTCTCTCTCTCTCTCTCTCTCTCTCTCTCTCTCTCTCTCTCTTCTCTCTCTCCTCTCTCTCTCTCTCTCTCTCTCTTTAATGGGGCGTTATTGCCATATAAAACACCATTCAGCAGCATGGAAAACACACTCATGTTGAGAAGAAGAAGAAACAGTTAAAGGAATCGGACAATCTGTTTTCTGGACTTAAAAATTTGGGGCTTCAGTTAGCCCAAATCTGAAGGGAACCGCTTATCCAAACGGTTGTTTTTATCATAACCAAATATTGTCACGGTTTCTCGGCCGGGCTGCTCCTCCTCTTTCGGCAGGCTCGGCTGTCGTCGTCTCGGAGTAAGCTGCACCGATCTATGTTTCATGTCGTTGTTTGGTCTGATGTTGTACACCTGTGTCTAGTTAGTCTCGTTAGTGTTCTATTTAGTCTCTTTGTGTTCTGTGTTTTTTTATTTTCGCTGTCGTTTTTGTGCGCTACTGTTTGCTTGTGCATTTCGCATTTCTCCTCTGTGTTAGGGGGTTTATTACGCACTGTTGTGCGCCTTTTGGTTTCGCTGTGTGCGGACTTTCTCGCCTCCGGCGTTTGACTCGTGATTGAGTGTGCATTTCACTAAAATCTATTGGACTTATCTTTCTGCGTCCTGCATCTGATCCTGCACCACACCCCCTACAGCACCACTGACATATGAAATGGAAATTACTTCTGCGTAAACGGCATTCATTTTCGTCTGTGTCTTAATCGGGGTAAGTGATCGTCCATTCTATTGGCCTTGTCACCGGATTCTGCCGATGTGCTCCTCCTCCTTGCTCGGGCAGGCTTCGCGTTCGCCGTCCCGACTTGATAAACCTGTTTTTTATAGGGGCAGGGCGCCAATTATGACTGTGTATACAGGTTTTTTAATATTACATTATTTTTGTACATTATTGCTGGTTCTTTTGGCAACTTCTACGCAAGCAGTGAGAGTTGCAGTTTACACGCGACGGAATAAAGAGCGGTGGCGCTTTCATCAACAATAATGAGCCGATTGTTCTATAGTGCAGTATTGAAAGAAGCACTAAAATTACATAGACATTTTGTATTTCATGTTACAATTAGGCCACTTGGCTTTTATCTAACCTTCAGCTGTCATGTTTCACTTTCACTGTAACACGTTTTTTAGCGCTGGTTTTTGGGTGTGTCCAGTTTATTTATTTATTTCCGCCTTTTTATTTGCCCCCTATTTGTTAATTTGCTCAGTATAATCCTCTAGCTGCTAAATATTTTAAAGTTATGAGTTATGTTTATTCTCTTCTTCAAATAGGCCTACTGGCCTTAGTAACGTCTCTGCAAAACATTAGGCTAGTCAATAACTGATATTACATTTTTATAAACAGCCGACTAACTAAACATTTCAGCGATTAATTTCTTAACAATTTATAATTTCTTAGTCTATTTATAAATGAGGTATAAGATTATTATCAAATGCATTATTGAAGTTATGAAGAAATCGATCCCTCAACTCTCCTCTGAATCAAATGACTGTATCAAGCTTTACTGTGCATTAGCAGTAGAACTCTCAGGATAATACCCTATACATGTGGAATGATTGATTGTATCATGTGTTGTATTCTCTTCAGATCATCAGCACCCTCTTGCTGGCCATCACGTTATTTGGACATGGGTTCTTCCACAAAAAAGAAGAAGTAATTATGTTTTTTTTTTATAGCCACTATTACATTTACTAATTATATCATACACATGTTGTTATAATAATGATGTGTCCATCTAGCCTGGTACTAGATCTGTTTGTGCTGTCTTTCCAACTCCTACAGTGTTTAGCATGACAACAACCATAGGAGTTGGCAATACAGCATAAACAGATCTGAGACCAGGCTAGAGTCCAGCAGCATCATTGTAATATTATGATTATAAAGCCAGAATTGCCATATCATTAATTTGGCTTGTCTTCCTATTCACAGATAGGCGAGATTCTACCAGGGATAGTAATGATGTATGTCCTAGAAGCAGCAACCCTGGTCCTGTCAATCTTTGGGGGTTTTGGCGCTCGCAAGGAGAAGAAATGGGCTGTGGTTCTGGTAAGCTTGCCTAGACCTGTCAAAATATGTTAGCCTGATCCCAGATCTGTTTTGTCTTGGATAATTATCATAGGAGTTGGCTATACAGCACAAACATATCTGGGACCTGGCTACCGACTTGACGTCTCCTCTGCTGCAAACTGTTCCTTTCTGACAAGTAATGGCATGCCATAAAACTCAACTGAAACCAGTCAAGACTTTTCCCATGACATGCTTCCAACATGTTTTCCAAAAAGAGTGATAAGGTTTGAATTAACCTTTAGTATTGATTTTGCTTGACAACCCCTATATGTGTGTGTAGTTTTCAGTAGGTATGTCACTGGCCAGCCTATACCTGTTTGTGGAGTGCGTGAGAGCATATGAATCCAAACACAAGGTACAGTAGTCTATATATATATATATATATTTACAGGTAACTGCCAAAATAAAGGGAACACCAACATAGTATCTTAACAGGGTGTTGGGCCACCACGAGCAGCCAGAACAGCTTCAATGCACCTTGGCATAGATTCTACAAGTGTCTGGAACTCTATTGGAGGAATGTGAAACAATTCTTCCACGAGAAATTCCATCATTTGGTGTTTTGTTGATGGAAAACGCTGTCTCAGGCGCTACTTCAGAATCTCACATAAGTGTTCAATTGGGTTGAGATCTGGTGAATGAGAAGGCCATGGCATATGGTTTACATCAATCGTTTTCATGCTCAACAAACAATTCAGTGACCACCCGTGCCCTTTGGATGTGGGCATATCATCCTATGGGGGCGTAGCCATGGTAGCCAAAATAATGTTCATACTGTACATGACCCTAAACATGATGGGATATTAACTGCTTAATTAACTCAGGAACCACACCTGTGTGGAATCACCTGCTTTCAATATACTCTGTGTCCCTCATTTACTCAAGTGTTTCCATTATTTTTGGCAGTTACCTGTATATATCTTAACTTTTTAATTCAACCTTGAGCCAATGTTTGTTTGCTGTTCTGGTGAAAATATATTTGAGAATGTATTGTATGATGGTGCAATGCATCTGATTCTTGATAATTTAATGTACTGTGTCTGTCCATTTCAAATTCATAGCTGATTATAGGTTTCAGCTGTGAATATAACACTCAATGTAAACTTTATTAATTTCAAGTTGGAGGAGTTAACCAGAGACGAATACCTAGCGATGATGCCTCTGAGTAGAGCGAATCAAACAGATATAAAAGAGATTTACAACATGCAGACTAACGTAAGTCACCTTCATTTAATGCTTCTTATGGTCTCTGCTTGTGCCAATTCAATGTCCCAGGGTGCCAATTCAATGTCCCAGGGTGCCAATTCAATGTCCCAGGGTGCCAATTCAATGTCCCAGGGTGACAGTTCAATGTCCCAGGGTGCCAATTCAATGTCCCAGGGTGCCAATTCAATGTCCCAGGGTGTCAATTCAATGTCCCAGGGTGCCAATTCAATGTCCCAGGGTGTCAATTCAATGTGTGTCTTAAGGGCCAGTTTTCCATATTATGTCAACCTAGGCCTAGACTAAAAGCACTTTCATTGGAGATTTCTCCATGGAGGGTTCTTCCAGAACTAGGCTTGAACTATATCTGGTAAATCACGCCTAAGTGTTTTTAAAATGTCTGCTGTGGTGTTTCCTTCACTATCAGATCAAATGCTGTGGGCTCGTACAAGGCTACCAAGACTGGGGCACAGACATCCCAATCTCCTGCCTCTGTTCTGATGAGGACTCAACAGACTTTAAATGTGTGAGTCTGCTGTGTTAAATAAGTTATCTTGTTGCTGTTGATGTTGTTGTTATCTGTATGCTAAGGAGGATGGGTTTCAATGTGTCAGCCTGTGTTAAATAAATTACCACTCAAATATGAAAGTGTAAATCTGTTGTCTTTCGGAAAGAGCAATTTATTTATTTATTCTATTATTTCTTTAAAATGTGTTTTTAAAACAAAATACAAAACAGACGATAAGGAGAGTGACAAGACGACCATAAATACACTGAGGAAGATGTACATGACAATATTCTAAAAGACCAACAAAAACGATAGAACACATTTGGACCAGACAATTATCATGGATGCCGTAGTGTAGCCTAATAAGAAATAATGCAGATAAAGTCAAGCACTGTTTTAAACCATGTCACATTCTATTTCAGGTTGCTCGTGGTAACAATACAAGATTTGTTATTCACTATCCCAACAGTGATAAGCCTGAGGATGATGACCGCAAGAGATTAATGGATGAACACATGCTGGTATATGAAGAGGTAAAAACATGTAATTCCACTACACCAGGGATGGGCAAATGGCGGCCATTTTCAAGGCCCTCGGATCAGTTAGCCCATGTCAGCTAATATTTTTTAGATTGCTAAATTAGTTTAGCGGCCAGCTATCTAAACTTGTTATCATGGTCAAATTACCGCCCATGGGGCCCCCATTGATGTTGTTAGTCAGTCTCACTCTCATGTCATATTAAAAACTGCATACATTTCTCACCACTCTATGGCAAAATGTGTAGAATTGCAGCAAACTTGCTTTATAACTGCAACATTTTCTTTTTGCACGAAATGAACTCAAACACTTTTTTTCCCTCTCTCTGCTGTCAAGAGGGGGCAACTAAAAGTTTAGCTCGCAATTTTGCGCTAAATGTTTTGCTCGCAATTGTGTATCAAACTAGAAGGTCATAATTCTAGTTTGATACATAAAGATGACTTACAGTACTCATTGATACAATAAACGGCTATTTGTTCAAGTTCTGATATAATATGGACCTATATACTCTTGTTTTTCTCACAAAATGACAAACTCTTAATTTTTCATTTTCAGCCATGTCTTCCCATCTTAATCTCTGTCTTGGGCTATGGACTCATTCTGATAACAGGAATATTTATAGCACTTACAGCATTATGGGTATGTATTTCAGATCTATGTCTGTACTATTGAACCATTCCAGGGTTGGGGTCAATTCAGTTTTTTCAATTCAATCAATTGAAATTCAATTCCCAAATTGAAAATTGTCCATAGTTTTTCATGTGGATTTTTCAATTCAGGAAGTGATTTTCAATTGATTGAATTTAATTGACTACCTGAATTGAAAACTTTTTTTGCATTAGTAGTAGTATTGGTTTATTATAATTATTACACCCAGGCCGTACTTGGCAGCTAAAAAATGAATTGCAGTACACAGTACATACAGTGAGGGAAAAAAGTATTTGATCCCCTGCTGATTTTGTACGTTTGCCAACTGACAAAGAAATGATCAGTCTATAATTTTAATGGTAGGTTTATTTGAACAGTGAGAGACAGAATAACAAAACAAAAATCCAGAAAAAACGTGATAAATTGATTTGCATTTTAATGAGGGATATAAGTATTTGACTCCTCTGCAAAACATGACTTAGTACTTGGTGGCAAAACCCTTGTTGGTAATCACAGAGGTCAGACATTTCTTGTAGTTGGCCACCAGGTTTGCACACATCTCAGGAGGGATTTTGTCCCACTCCTCTTTGCAGATCTTCTCCAAGTCATTAAGGTTTCGAGGCTGACGTTTGGCAACTCAAACCTTCAGCTCCCTCCACAGATCTTCTATGGGATTAAGGTCTGGTGACTGGTTAGGCCACTCCAGGACCTTAATGTGCTTCTTCTTGAGCCACTCCTTTGTTGCCTTGGCCGTGTGTTTTGGGTCATTGTCATGCTGGAATACCCATCCACAACACATTTTCAATGCCCTGGCTGAGGGAAGGAGGTTCTCACCCAAGATTTGATGGTACATGGCCCCGTCCATTGTCCCTTTGATGCGGTGAAGTTGTCCTGTCCCCTTAGCAGAAAAACACCCCCAAAGCATAATGTTTCCACCTCCATGTTTGACGGTGGGGATGGTGTTCTTGGGGTCATAGGCAGCATTCCTCCTCCTCCAAACACGGCGAGTTGAGTTGATGCCAAAGAGCTCAATTTTGGTCTCATCTGACCTCAACACTTTCACCCAGTTCTCCTCTGAATCATTCAGATGTTCTTTGGCAAACTTCAGACGGGCATGTATATGTGCTTTCTTGAGCAGGGGGACCTTGCGGGCGCTGCAGTATTTCAGTCCTTCACGGCGTAGTGTGTTACCAATTGTTTTCTTGGTGACTATGGTCCCAGCTGCTTTGAGATCATTGACAAGATCCTCCCGTGTAGTTCTGGGCTGATTCCTCACCGTTCTCATGATCATTAAAACTCCACGAGGTGAGATCTTGCATGGAGCCCCAGGCCGAGGGAGATTGACAGTTATTTTGTGTTTCTTCCATTTGCGAATAATCGCACCAACTGTTGTCACCTTCTCACCAAGCTACTTGGCGATGGTCTTGTAGCTCATTCCAGCCTTGCGTAGGTCTACAATCTTGTCCCTGACATCCTTGGAGAGCTCTTTGGTCTTGGCCATGGTGGAGAGTTTGGAATCTGATTGATTGATTGCTTCTGTGGACAGGTGTCTTTTATACAAGTAACAAGCTGAGATTAGGAGCACTCCCTTTAAGAGTGTGCTCCTAATCTCAGCTCGTTACCTGTATAAAAGACACCTGGGAGCCAGAAATCTTTCTGATTGAGAGGGGGTCAAATACTTATTTCCCTCATTAAAATGCAAATCAATTCATAATATTTTTGACATACGTGTTTCTGGATTTTTTGTTGTTATTCTGTCTCTCACTGTCAAATAAACCTACCATAACAATTATAGACTGATCATTTCTTTGTCAGTGGGCAAACGTACAAAATCAGCAGAGGATCAAATACTTTTTTCCCTCACTGTACAACTAAACAAGAACAATTAAAACATGTGAAAGTCAGAATGGGAGCTGAAGGATGAATCGAGCCCACCACTATACCATATTTTTTTTACCTTATGTTTCGAGTGTAGGCCTATTTGATTTCACTGTTATCTTTCACATTCAGCACCAAGTCACCTGCTCCATCAATCCTGTCTGAACCGTTACTGTGTGTTTGGTCCTCAGGATATTGGAGTTGCCCTGGCCATCACAATACTCTGCCAGATGAGAAGAAAGTTTGATGTGCCACCTGTGATCTTCACATCTCAACCACATCAATACAGAGAGCTGTGTGACACAGCAGAGAATGTCTGAAATGAAATGGTCCTCTTATGAAGGATACACAATGCACTAGTCTGAGTGACAGTCTGTTTGTGCTATCATGCCAACTCCTTGTCACTCATTCGTGTCAAGCCACACATGGCAATGGGTGACAAAATAGTTGGCTTGGCAATGACAGCAATGGAGTTGGCATTGGCCAGACCACAAACAGATCTGGGATCATGCTAGCAATGCACTCATATTATGTACATATTCATAACACACTTGAAAGGACAACTAGGGACATTATTAGACATTAGAGATCTCTGATGGGTTGTCCAAAGTATTACTGTTCAACTGATTGTCCATCTGACTGCCAACAAGCGTCTTCTTATTGGCTGTCAAGGGTTCTGTAAAACCTGTGGTTTGTTTTTCTGTTGTAAATAACTGGTAACCATTTAACCATTGAAGTGCCTCAGTGTTGGTTACAGTGTCTTGAATAAAGGGACAACCAACATCTCTTAAAAATATATATTTTGTTTGCTAAACACAACTGTATTACCAAATTACTTTACCATTATCATAGGAAGTCACAATCAGACTCTGACAAAAATGGTATTTCTTCCAGTGGCCTTTGTCCTCTCCACATCCCCATTTCATTTTCTCTATTCCTCTTTTCCGTCTGCTCTCTCCTCTCATCCTCCTCTCGTCCTCTCTTCCTCTTTCCCTGTTTCCCCCTCTTCTCCTCTCTGACTCCCTCAGCTCTTTCTCTCTCCTCTTCTGTTCTTCCTTCTCTGCCTTTGTCTCTGCTTCCTTTCTCTTCCTCTCCTCCTTCTCTTGTTTCTTCAACTTCTCTTTCTTCCATCTGAATACAGTCTGACTCAGGGGGAAAAGTTGTTTCAAACAATGAAGAAGTAATGAAGGACTCTAGACTGTATGTTATTAGACCAGTGGTTCTAGCCTGGGTACCAGTCTGTTTAGCTATCATTCCACTCCTTGACACTCCTTGGCATATGACACGGAGTACAAGTTATCTAAACACACTGGTACCCAGGCTACAGTGGTACCTACTCAAAATAGTATTTTACATGAATTCAATAAACTCTACTTTGTTCTATTTACCTGTGTGGCAGAAGCTTCCATGGCAACCTGCTGCGCTGCTGTGGTTCCATCGTCATGGCTCCCCAAATTACCTGCATTGCACTGTCAAATCACAGGAGGGCAGTAGATATTAACTCATCAAGTTAGTTAGATGCACAGAGAGAGGGGCCTAGCCTGTTCCCAGATCTGTTTGTGTTATCATGTGTTTGGCATGACAAGCAGAGGCATGATGACACAAACAGACTGGTTCCCAGGCTAAGAAGGGCCCCTGATACCTTATAGATTAAGGTAACATTTTATTTGGATAGTCCATTTGTAGATGCTCTACAGACTATCTACAGACTATCAGTAGCATTTCATCTATCTACAAACCCTAACTCTAACCTTAACCCTTATTTTAAACCTTACCCTAACCCTAACCGTAACCTTAGCAAGCAATTGCTTATCAACAGATAGTTTCTTGATAGTACAAATGCTGTATCTTCATTTGAACCTGTTTTTCACAGCAGGAAAATAGTCCTGCAGCAACAGAACATTTGAATTATTATGTGGATTATAATTAATGGTCAATTTTCATTAGGGCAACTCAAGTCTGACATTTTTAAAGTGGAAATTACAAACTTTAGAAGCATTTTTAAACCTTGAATACACTACAAGCTTGCATTTCCTGATGTGCAGGAAAATTCTCATCAACAACAGCATGATCAAATGAATATCCGTCATCTGTATGAGGATCTGAAGAGCATCTACAGATGGACTGTCCAAATGAAAGTGTGTGACCTAGATTAAGAACGGTCTTTATTACTAATGCATGGTTCTCACCATGTTTCCATTGCTTTTCATGTCCTGCAAGTCGATGATGGTATTAAGCACATCAGCAGTCCCCCTCAGATGCTTGTTCTCCTCATCCATTGCATTTCTCTCAGTGTTCCACCTCTCCTCCCCCTCTCTCTCCTCCTCTTCCTCCTGGTCCACTCTCTGCTCCTCCAGTCCCCTGACCCACTCTTCTCTCTTCTTCTACTTCTCCTACATCTTCTCCAGTTCTCTTGATCCAGGAGTTTGCTGAGTGACTCGATCTCCTCCGGCGCTGCCTTGCTCTTCTCTTTTATCCACTCTCTGTCCTCTATCGCTTTCTTTTCCAACTCTTTCAGCCTCTTTCTCTCGCTCCTAAACCTCACCCTTACCGCCGACATACTTTCCTGGCGGTCGTCCAGCCATAGCTGGTACTCCAGCGTATCTCTCTCTAGCTGCTCCATGCAACACTCTAACCAAAGCTTCTTCTGGTTAACTCTGTTATCCTCTAAATCTATCATCTCCGTTTCCTTCCTCTCCTTCTCCCTCTTCCGTTCCAACTCTTCCTTCTCTTCTGCTCTCTCCATCTCCAATGGGTACCGTTTCTTTCTCTCCTTCTACAGTTCCAGCTCTACTTTCAGTGGTGTAAAGTACTTAATAAAAAATACTTGAAAGTGCTACTTCAGTAGTTTTTGGGGGTATCTGTGCTTTGCTTTACTATTTATATTTTTGCCAACTTTTACTTTTACTTCACTACATTCCTAAAGAAAAGAATGTACTTTTTACTCCATACATTTTCCCTGATACCCAAAAGTACTCGTTAAATTTTGAATGCTTAGCAGGACATGAAAATTGTCCAATTCACACACTTATCAAGAGACTGTCTCTGGTCATCTCTACTGCCTCTGATCTGGCGGACTCACTAAACACAAATGCTTCATTTGTAAGTTATGTCTGAGTGTTGGAGTGTGCCCCTGGCTATCCGTCAATAAACGAAAACAAGAAAATTGTGCCGTTTGGTTTGCTTAAAATGTGGAATTTGAAATGGTTTATACTTGTACTTTTGCTTTTGATACTTAAGTACATTTTAGCAATTCCATTTACTTTTAACACTTAAGTATATTTAAAACCAAATACTTTTAGACCTTTACTCAAGTAGTATTTTACTGGGTGACTTTCACTTTTACTTGAGTCATTTTCTATCAAGGTATCTTTACTTTTACTCAAGTATGAAAATTGAGTACTTTTTCCACAACTGTCCACCTCCTCTAATCTCCTCTAACTTCTCCACCTCTTTTGCTTTCAATTGAATTTCCTCATCCTTCTCTCTCTCCATCTTACCTAGGTGCCATTCCACCTCCCCCTCTTGCTTCAGATGTACCTTCCTCTTCTCTCTGTCTCTCCGTCTCAAACTGCTTTATCTTTGCACTCCGTTCTTCCTTTTCTCTCTTCCAATCTGTTCTGATTCTCTCAATCTCTTTCTGTATCACAGATGTTAATTGATCACACTCCCCCGCTGCTTGTATTGCCCGTTCTACCACCAGCTCCAGCCTTTCTTCCTCCTCCAGTTCCTCCTCTTTCTTCTCCTCTATATCCCTCCGTTCCCTCTTCTCCTGAAAGTCACTTCTTTCTTTTTATTTTGTTGTTTTCTTTTTCCCCCGAAACGTTTTCCTTTTTTGCTGGAGCTCCTCACTCGTCATCTCATACTCTCTGTCACCGTCACTGTCCCCAAGACTCTGCAAAGGTAGCCGGGGCATTGCTCCACCAATCCACAAGCCGGAGTTGTGTTGTGGTGGAGAAGGTTTTGATTGAAGTGTTCTGGAAGATGCCAGTCATTTGAATAGAATGTTCAATTCAAAACAACTGCTTTAAAGTTCTGAGTTCCAACATGGAATAGAAAGTGAGGAAGTTTCCACAAAGACTGAAAGTTGTTTTTCTCACAGATAAAGGCAATAATGACAACATGATAAATAATTATAATACATCCAAACAGTTGATCTGTTTTTGTATCTATTTTGTTATCTATTTAATTTGAAAAGTATTTTTAACAAAGTATTTTTAACAGATTCTATCCAGGTTTTGAGAGCAATGTCGTTGAGAACTGAAATACAATACCTTCCATGGCAACCTGCTGCGCTGCTGTGGTTCCATCGTCATGGCTCCCCAAATTATCTGCATTGCACTGTCAAATCACAGGAGGGCAGTAGATATTAACTCATCAAGTTAGTTAGATGCACAGAGAGAGGGGCCTAGCCTGTTCCCAGATCTGTTTGTGTTATCATGTGTTTGGCATGACAAGCAGAGGCATGATGACACAAACAGACTGGTTCCCAGGCTAAGAAGGGCCCCTGATACCTTATAGATTAAGGTAACATTTTATTTGGATAGTCCATTTGTAGATGCTCTACAGACTATCTACAGACTATCAGTAGCATTTCATCTATCTACAAACCCTAACTCTAACCTTAACCCTTATTTTAAACCTTACCCTAACCCTAACCGTAACCTTAGCAAGCAATTGCTTATCAACAGATAGTTTCTTGATAGTACAAATGCTGTATCTTCATTTGAACCTGTTTTTCACAGCAGGAAAATAGTCCTGCAGCAACAGAACATTTGAATTATTATGTGGATTATAATTAAATAAATTTTCATTAGGGCAACTCAAGTCTGACATTTTTAAAGTGGAAATTACAAACTTTAGAAGCATTTTTAAACCTTGAATACACTACAAGCTTGCATTTCCTGATGTGCAGGAAAATTCTCATCAACAACAGCATGATCAAATTAATATCCGTCATCTGTATGAGGATCTGAAGAGCATCTACAGATGGACTGTCCAAATAAAGTGTGTGACCTAGATTAAGAACGGTCTTTATTACTAATGCATGGTTCTCACCATGTTTCCATTGCTTTTCATGTCCTGCAAGGTGCCATTCCACCTCCCCCTCTTGCTTCAGATGTACCTTCCTCTTCTCTCTGTCTCTCCGTCTCAAACTGCTTTATCTTTGCACTCCGTTCTTCCTTTTCTCTCTTCCAATCTGTTCTGATTCTCTCAATCTCTTTCTGTATCACAGATGTTAATTGATCACACTCCCCCGCTGCTTGTATTGCCCGTTCTACCACCAGCTCCAGCCTTTCTTCCTCCTCCAGTTCCTCCTCTTTCTTCTCCTCTATATCCCTCCGTTCCCTCTTCTCCTGAAAGTCACTTCTTTCTTTTTATTTTGTTGTTTTCTTTTTCCCCCGAAACGTTTTCCTTTTTTGCTGGAGCTCCTCACTCGTCATCTCATACTCTCTGTCACCGTCACTGTCCCCAAGACTCTGCAAAGGTAGCCGGGGCATTGCTCCACCAATCCACAAGCCGGAGTTGTGTTGTGGTGGAGAAGGTTTTGATTGAAGTGTTCTGGAAGATGCTAGTCATTTGAATAGAATGTTCAATTCAAAACAACTGCTTTAAAGTTCTGAGTTCCAACATGGAATAGAAAGTGAGGAAGTTTCCACAAAGACTGAAAGTTGTTTTTCTCACAGATAAAGGCAATAATGACAACGTGATAAATAATTATAATACATCCAAACAGTTGATCTGTTTTTGTATCTATTTTGTTATCTATTTAATTTGAAAAGTATTTTTAACAAAGTATTTTTAACAGATTCCATCCAGGTTTTGAGAGCAATGTCGTTGAGAACTGAAATACAATACCACAGGTGGGGGGGGGCTCACATGGTGATTAGCAGGTGGGGCGGGATTAAATTCTTTGTGCAGGTGCAGTTGGACAGTTAAGGGTAGAGAGAGAGAGAGAGAGAGAGAGAGAGAGAGAGAGAGAGAGAGAGAGAGGAGAGAGAGAGAGAGAGGAGAGAAGAGACCATATGCTAAGCTCGCTGCTCGATCTCTACTCTCGCTCTACTCTCTGTGATCGAAACTGCTGTCTAACCTCTTCTCTTCTCTCTCTTCGGCTGCTGGCTCTTTGATCGCTCTGCTGGTTGATAGCTTCTTGGCTTCTGGTAGGGCTACTGGGGCTGGTCTGCCACTCCTATCTATCTCTACTGGCTCCTACCAGCTGTGGGCTTTTGCTGGCTGAGAGAAGCGAAATCCCATCCACATAACAAACCATCTGGAGAAGGACGGCAGCTCTTCTGACAGTGTAAAGGAGACTCAATCTGTTTCTTTCTGTGTGGAGGGTTAGCGCTTATTATTGTCTGTTCGGTGCACTCTGTTGCCGTTGGAGATAAACTGGGGCAACACCTGAGAAGGAGGCGGGAACGGAACGCTGTCTTTCTGGAGAACTGAGCTGCTGTTATCTTCCCCTGGTGGACGTAGGGGAGCGAGGGAAGAGACAGAGGCCTGGTTGGAGGGAACATTCTGGGCTTGACTGAAAGACCTGTGCTCCATTCTCAGCTCTGAGGTGGTTATATGGCCAGAAGGAAATCCTGTAACACATCTGATCAACTAAAGAATGATATTTTCCACACCTGTGCTGTGACCTACTACAGGACTGAAGCTACTGTATGTGGAAGAGTCTTCTCTGGCCTAGGAGGATTTACAAGTCACAAAGAGACCATATGTCATCTGTGATTGTAACCTAGCCACAACCATCAGGGGATGGCGCTGTAAGGCAGACCATCACACACTTGCTCATAACACAGTTATAACATAGTCATACCATTGTGACGTGACACTGAGTCAGTGTCTTGGTGAGGCTCCCAGGCCAGGCCTCTTCACGATGCAGCAGCCGACAGGAGGAGTGGAGCAGCAGGACGAATCTTTTGATTTCCTGTTCAAGATCATCCTGATTGGAGACTCTAACGTGGGGAAGACCTGTGTGGTCCAGAGCTTCAAGTCAGGACAGTTCTCTGAGAGGCAACAGAACACCATAGGGGTGGACTTCACCGTGCGGACAGTGGACATCGAGGGCAAGAAAATTAAGGTAAGGAAGTCAGCCTCAAACTTTAAGAAGAAATTGTGCTTTATAAAACCAAAAAGGGTTCAATGAAAGTCAGCCTAACCCTAAACCTAACCCTACTGTCACTCTCACTCCCGCAAGCTGTTGCATATCAACAGAGCTGCAGTTGATAGTTTGTTGATAGTTTGAACATCTACAACAGATCTTCTGTTGTTGACTATACACATAAAGTATAACTGAAATATCTAAGTATTGCCTCCTGATCAGATTAGTTGCTGTTTGAATACTTCAGTTTTGAGGCCATTGGAGTGGTTGATGTAAAATACAGCTGTTGTCTTGTGATACTGCCAAGAAGACTTTGCAGGCCTTTTGACATGTAAAACAAGTTGTACCAGCAGTTCACGAGGGACTCGCCTTTCTGGTTCTCCAACAACACATCCATCATTCCTCCTTCTTTTCCCGGACCAAAAACGTCAGCATTTAAAAAAAACTTCAGTGAGAAAAGTGGGAGTACGCCTTAAGTACCTACTAAGGTAGACCTACTGTATGCTTGAATAGGAAACCTCTATGAGGCGCTGGCTACACTCTCAGAAAAAAAGGTGCTATCTAGAACCTTAAAGGGTTCTTCAGCTGTCCCCATAGGAGTACCCTTTGAAGAACCCTTTTTGGTTGCAGGTAGAACCCTTTCTACAGATGGTTCTACATGGGACCCAAAAGGCTTCTACCTGGAACCAAAAAGGGTTCTCCTATGGGTCAGCCGAAGAACCGTTTTGGAACCCTTTTTTCTAAGAGTGAAGGTTTAAATACTTTAGAGATACTTTAGGTTTAAATGATTTTGTTGCTGGAGGGCACCTCCCTCCCTCCCTCCTCTTCCCACACCTGCTAACTGTATTGTTCCCCAAACCTGCCAGACAACAGAGATGATAGGAAGGTATTTATGGCAGGCTCTCTTCCTCTTACCAACCATAGAGATACACTCTTAGAAAAAAGGGTTACAGTAGGATTCTTCCACTGTCCCCATAGGAGAACCCTTTTTGGTTCCATGTAGAACCCTCTGTGGAAAGAACCAAAAGGGGTTCTCCTATGGGGACAGCCAAATAACCATTTTAGGTTCTAGATAGCACCTTTTTGTTTATGAGTGTATCTGTACATTATTACTAGAGTGACCTACCGTGTCATAAACCTCCTTCATTCTAGAATGGGGTTGTATTTCATTCTGTGATACTGACTGTGTCATCAACCAACTGAACTTTGACACAGGAAGGAAGAGCAGGCAATATGATGGCTTCAGAATGTATCTCAGTCTGGGCCTGTGTCCCAAATTGCACTCTTTTCCTTATATCAAATCAAATCAAATCAAATCAAATCAAATTTTATTGGTCACATGCGCCGAATACAACAGGTGCAGACATTACAGTGAAATGCTTACTTACAGCCCTTAACCAACAGTGCATTTATTTTAAACAAAAAAGTAGAATAAAACAACAACAAAAAAAGTGTTGAGAAAAAAGAGCAGAAGTAAAAAAATAAAGTGACAGTAGGGAGGCTATATATACAATAGAATAAAGTGACAGTAGGGAGGCTATATACAGGGGGGTACCGTTGCATAGTCAATGTGCGGGGGCACCGGCTAGTTGAGGTAGTTGTAGGTAATATGTACATGTGGGTAGAGTTGAAAGTGACTAATGCATGAGAATACTTAAACAGAGTAGCAGCGTAGCAGCAGCGTAAAAAGGATGGGGTGGGGGGGCAGTGCAAATAGTCCGGGTAGCCATGATTAGCTGTTCAGGAGTCTTATGGCTTGGGGGTAGAAGCTGTTGAGAAGTCTTTTGGACCTAGTGCACTACTTTTGACCAGGGCCCATGTCTCTGGTCAGAAGTAGTGCACTATATAGGGAATAGGGTGCCATTTAGTTTATGGCCACTCAGTGTGAATAGGACCTTGTTGCCTCAACCAGTACCACATGCCTGACTCAAAATGACAACTGTAACCACACAAAGAGACAGAGATCAGTGCAAACAGCATTTATTGAGACGGCTTGTACTATTTACTGATAGGAACATGGATATCATCGTGCTGTGAAGACTTCAATTTAATTTATTTCCTCACTTTGCATGACAATGGCAGTGCTCTTGCTCCAGGCAGAAATGGAGATGAAGGGTGTTTTGCTTCCCACCCTATAGAGGTGTGTCATTGTTAAACACAGGAACCAGTGGAAATCCCCTGTGCATCACTGCACGCATACTGTATATAAGCTATCCCTCCCAAAGCCAGTGACAGAGCCATGTTTAGTACATTAAAACTACAGCACATATGGATCAAAACAATGACAATCCCTACAGTAGCTTTTGGAAGCATATTAATTATTTTTTATCCAACAAGTTCTCTTGTGCTTGTGTACATGTTGCATGGATGATTAGGAGAAAGAGAGATAAAAGGAGTTAACGGTGGTTTTAGAGAAAGATAAAGGCTGTGAGGGGAGTGATAAAGAAACCATTGCAAGTTCAGACCAGGTGAGCAGGGGAGATTAGGAACTCTGGTGCCAGGTTTGTCAGGTTGCTATGGCAGTTGTTGCTATGCTAACATGAAGATAGGAGAAGGGCAGGCGGAGGCTGAAGGAGATGCCCCAGACAGTGACATATTGCAGCATTTTTTAAGTTACAGTACATCATCATTTTGTTAAGGTGTCATTTCAGTTTTGTATTGTCCCCTCCAGGAGTACATTAGGCTTTGAGATCATTGTTTTGTATTGTCCCCTCCAGGAGTATATTAGGCTTTGAGATCATTGTTTTGTATTGTCCCCTCCAGGAGTATATTAGGCTTTGAGATCATTGTTTTGTATTGTCCCCTCCAGGAGTATATTAGGCTTTGAGATCATTGTTTTGTATTGTCCCCTCCAGGAGTATATTAGGCTTTGAGATCATTGTGTTTGTGTGTGAGATATTGGTCTAATTCTGTGTCTGTGTAAAACAGATGCAGGTATGGGACACAGCTGGACAGGAGCGTTTCCGGACCATCACCCAGAGTTACTACCGCAGCGCCCACGGCGCCATGATCGCCTATGACATCACACGCCGCGGAACCTTTGACTCTGTGTCCCATTGGATCAGAGAGGTGGAGCTGTACGGCGCGGCCAATATAGTGCTCTGTCTCATTGGTGAGTGGGAGCTGAAATATCTGCTGACTCCGTGTGGCATGGGCCATTGTTTTGAATTGAAATGTTTGTTCTACCATTTGTATTTCTATGATTGAGATGTAAAGATTTGAAATAAAAAAGTTTCTGGGCCTCTCTCAGAAAAGAGGTCCAAACCTTTAAAATACTTTAACACCTGACCCCTTCCTGTTCAATTAAAGGTCAAATCAATGTGTTTCTGACAAATCAGTTCTAAAAACAAAACTTTAAACACCTATTTCTCTCCCTCCCAGGCAACAAGTCACAGGAAGGGGTCAGGGGTTAAAGTCTTTTAAACACCTATGTCTCTCCCTCCCAGGCAACTAGTCACAGGAAGGGGTCAGGGGTTAAACATTGAAGCTGGCTCTTTGTCTTTTATATTGTCTGTGAACTGTCAAATAGATGCTGAAGACACATTTCCAACAATGTCCTTCCTCTCCCTCCCAGGTAACAAGTCTGACCTGGAGTCTGAGCGTCGGGTGTTGTTCCAGGAGGCGTGCTGTATGGCTGAGGAGAGAGGCATCCTGGCAGCGTTAGAGACGTCAGCTAAGGAGGCTCAGAATGTGGACGATGCCTTCATGATGATGGCCCGCGAGTTGCTGGCACGCAACGGCATGGCCGTCCAGCAACAGGCGCCTAGCAACAATGACTCGCCTCGCGTCCTGCTCCGAGCCAACTCAAGACCAATCAACGGGCCGGCGGTGATCGCAGACAAGAAGACGTGTTGCTAACATACAGAGGAGGAAGGACAACAGAGGGAGTTTAAGAATGGATACCTGGGGGGACATGAGTGCGTGCCACTGTTCTACCTGGAAGTGGACAGAATAGGGTGGGGATCATCAACTACATTCAGCCGCCAGACCATTTTTTCTGGAACAGATGGTCGGGGGGCCGGAACATAATTACAAATAATTTGTCAACTGCAAATTGACATCAAGAAGCCGAAACAGATATAGTTTGACTAAAACATTATTTCAAAACCTTGCTTCCATATGTATCATTCACGTGTCTCTCTATTATGGGTGGGAATACTTGGGAACAGATTTCTTAAATTAAAATCACTTGGAGCTGATTTCCTGTAGTTTTTACAGTCGTTTATGTCAACAATGAAAATTCCACAAAAATATATACAGTACCAGTCAAAAGTTTGGACACACCTGCTCATTCCAGGGTTTTTCTTTATTTTTACTATTTTCTACATTGTAGAATAATAGTGAAGACATCAAAACTATGAAATAACACATATGGAATCATGTAGTAACACGAGCAATGGGCGTTAGACCGGTGGAAATTTGTCCTTTGGGCTGGAGTCCAAATTTGAGATTTTTGGTTCCAACCGCCATGGCTTTGTGAGATGCGGTGTAGGTGAACGGATGATCTCCGCATGTGTAGTTCCCACTGTAAAGCATGGAGGAGGTGGTGTTATGGTGTGGGGGTGCTTTCCTCTTGACACGGTCTGTGATTTATTTAGAATTCAAGGCACACTTAACCAGCATGGCTACCACAGCATTCTGCAGCAATACGCCATCCCATCTGGTTTGGGCTTAGAGGGACTATCATTTGTTTTTCAACAGGACAATGACCCAACACACCTCCAGGCTGTGTAAGGGCTATTTTACCAAGAAGGAGAGTGATGGAGTGCTGCATCAGATGACCTGGTCCTCCACAACCCCCCGACCTCAACCCAATTGAGATGGTTTGGGATGAGTTGGACCGCAGAGTGAAGGAAAAGTAGCATATGTGGGAACTCCTTCAAGACTGTTGGAAAAGCATTCCAGGTGAAGCTGGTTGAGAGAATGCCAAGAGTGTGCAAAACTGTCATCAAGGCAAAGGGTTGCTATTTGAAAGAATCTCAAATATAAAATATATATGTTTAACACTTTTTTAGTTACTACATTATTCGATATGTGTTATTTCATTGTTTTGATGTCTTCACAATTATTCTACAATGTGGAAAATAGTAAAAAAATTAAGAAAAGCCCCTTCAATGAGTAGGTGTTTTAAAACTTTTGACCGGTAGTGTATAGATATTTCTTGCTCAGAAAACTTGGAGGTCCAAATAAAACCACCCATGGGTCAAATCCAGCCCGCGGGCTGCCAGTTAGGGAACCCTGGAATAGGGGAAGCTGAGACCATTACAGACAGTACACACACTCCTCTCTTGTGGGTGCCTTTAAGTACTATTGACCTATGACCTATGCAGTGGTGTAGCGCAGTAATTATCTCAAGGGGGTTAGCCGTCAGAGATGACAAGCCACTGACGGAGTTGACAACAGATACTCAAAACAGACATATTTTTGCCTCTAAAAAAACATTTGTAAAATATGGAAAATTATTCATTTGAAAGTCCCCAATAAAAACAGAACCATTCTATCAGATCTTTCAGCACTCTGGCGGAGTTGGCGTTAGACAAAAATCTGACAGAGTTGATGCTTTAAGGAGTTTACAAATATTGCATTTTTCTTCTTCATTCAAGTGGTATACACAGTAGGAATTATGTTTTTCCTCAGTTGCTTTATGACTCTAAAACCTCATTAAATGTAATATATTTGAACCAAAATTAATATTCTATCGTAATCTATCAGACAGATGGAGTTGACAGTTTATGTGGTTGTGACCATGGTGATTTCAATATTGTTTGTTTAAAATCTATTAAAAGTTTAGAACTTCACATTTACATTTTAGTCATTTAGCAGACGCTCTTATCCAGAGCGACTTACAGTTAGTGAGTGCATACATTTTTCAACCAACCCTTCACAATCACAGGTGGTCCTCTTAAGTCTTTCTCAAGGAACTGAAGGAGAGACTGAGAGGAGAGGTGAGACCTTGGGGTTTCTGGATGAAGAGGCCTCTCCCTGCACCAGGGATGTTTTCAGGCCTGGCAGGAGTAGGGGCAGCCTGCTGGGGAACAGCTCGCTGTACTGAGTCTTGTGCCTGGGGGGACAGGCACCTACACCCTCCCCACTGGGGCCTGGGATCTTCAGGACCCTGGGGCTCTCCTTGGGGACCTGGGCTGCTGATATCGGGACAGCCAGGCCTCTTCCCAGGGAGAGGAAGGCAGGTAGGGAAGGGAAGGGAAGGCAGGGTGGGTTGGTTGGTGCTGGGTCTTTCAATTTAACAGACCATGAGTGGTCTTGTTGCACTACACGGGGGGCCAGTATGAAAAATGTATGCACTCACTAATTGTAAGTCGCTCTGGATAAGAGCGTCTGCTAAATGACTAAAATGTCCCCAAAAAAAATGTAACAAGGAGATGAAGGGGTCCTTATAGTATAGCTGACCCTGCTCATTCCTGATTAATCTGAGATTTTTTGACAAATCTGATGGAGTTCACCAAATCTCCGGACACATATTTTAGGAATCACAGTTTTGAGAGAAATATGATTTAAAGTCACAGAGGGCTATTGCATAAAACTACATAAGATCATGTTTCAGTTAATATCCATCATTGCCATTTATTTTATTTTTTTAACACTTTTTTTGGAGAGTTTGAAATCGGGATCCTTTGCTCAGGACAAGGGCATTTCCAGGCATAGAAATGAATAATATTGAAAGTATAAAAAAAATTATAAAAACAAATATTTTCCTTATGACGCGTTCATATGCTATTTGTGGGGCCCAAAGTTCGTGGGAGGGTGCGCTACGCCAGTGGATCTATGACACTGTGACCTTGTGAGTGTCCCAAGAGGGGAGTGAACTGGAGCAGTGGACTTTAGCTTTGGAGGAAACACTACATTAATGCTACACCTGCTGCTATCCATGTTGTTGCTGAAAGACTACAGCGCCTGAACAGAGCAGAGCTCCCAGCTGCTTACACATAGCAAGCTATGGAATTGTATTTCAAAAATGTGCACATCAGTGACGTACTACTGACGTCTTGAGAGACATTTTAATTTGTGATGATTTATGTACAATATTGCCTAACGTGACAATCATTGGTCAGTGGTCAAAAGTTACATCATCGTTATAGACATTCAATTAGATTTTAATTTGAGGCCATGTGGCAGAAAGTGATAAGGGAAGCTAGTGGGTCTGGGCAGGTGTGATGTAGTTGATGTTTGTATGATGTCGTTTGTATGTGTATGTTTTGTATTGGTTTTTTTGTTTTTGTTTTTTTAATACATAGATTGTAACAGCTGATTGTGGTTATTCGGTGAGGAAAAAGGTTGAGATTAAGTTTGAACTAAGTATTACAATACAGGCTTTTCAGGATGGGCCTTTGGAAAAGTACGATACCTGTGTCAGTGGGGAGAATAAGGGGTTTACACGTTGGTAAAAGACACTCAAAAACCGTGTAACTCTCTGCCTACCACTAGGGGGCACAGTAGGCCTACATTCACTTATCCACTTCGGGGCATCAGAAGAAAAGAGAAAGAAGCAACTCCATCATCATGATTCAAGTGAAGCATCTTTGACAAAGCTACAGTATTTATACCTAGATAACTCCAAGACCTGCTATAACCTAACATCCCAGGGCCTCTTGTTGCTAAAAAAGTATAGACTAATTTATCCAAATACGGAAATTCTGTTGAAATGTGTACGGCCTGCCAAACTTTCCTGCTTTTATGACATAATACTTATCCTCTCAACAAAGAACTTGGCAGCATCTGGACGAAATGTGAGTTTGGAGAATGCACATAGCTTGGCAGTGAGTACCTGGAGAGAGCCTTTGATTCTGCAGCAGGTATGGCATTGCAGCAGACCCACATGAGGTAACATTTTCACACCTGGGTAGAGGTTAGTTTGAATCACTGTTGCTTCTAGCTAAGATGATCTACTTGGTGAAGGCTTTGATCAATTCGTAAATGGGTATTATTACTGCGCTGTTGGAGCTAGAAACACAAGCATTTCGCTGCACCTGCGCTAACATCTGCAAATCTGTTCAATTAGCAAATAGGTATTATTACGGAGCTAGAAACACAAGCATTTCACTGCACCTGCGCTAACATCTGCAAATCTGTGTATGCGACCAATAAACATTAATTTTATTTGAAATCATCTGATACTGCTTTCAGCCTTACCAATGCAGACTTACATTTCTCTTGTTGGGATAAATAAAGTACTGCTAACTACAACTACTACTATTACTACTGCTTTACATTTACATTTTACATTTTCAGTGTTATTATTCAGAACAACAATCAAAAGCAACATGACCATGACAGGCTTTCATGCATGCAGCTTTTTACAATGGGTCCTTTAAAAAAAAATGTAATTTTATGAGGCACCGACTGAAACAGATATTGTTTCAACTTACAGTTTTCAGATGCGTTGAAAAGCAACACAACTGACCCCAGGTGTGTGACCCCCTGTGTCTTATAATGAGAAACACATCCAAGGACACCCTATGAATGTCCAGCAGTATTAAGCCTGAAGCTATTCCAGCTTTCCTGTGCCCAGCTTCACATAACAGGGGCATTACTGTTATCTGACTCCTTGGTTGGTTCCCATATGGATTTCATGGACTTCTGGTCAAGCATTAGGGGGCCTAGTGAAGTAATAAAATAACTTCCCTACTGAGAAATGAAATATATCGAAACAAACAATCTAGCAAACTAAACAAACATCACTTTTCTATCACTTATCAGGATATGACCCAGATGCAGACACGGGAGGCGGATAGTACAGTTCTCAGATCATTTATTATAAACACGGGGCAGGCAAAGGGCAGGTCGAGGGCAGACAGAGGTTCGTGATCAGGTCAGAGTCAGGCAGGTACAGGATGGCAGGCAGGCTCGGGGTCAGGGCAGACAGAGGGTCGTGATCAGGTCAGAGTCAGGCAGGTACAGGATGGCAGGCAGGCTTGGGGTCAGGGCAGACAGAGGGTCGTGATCAGGTCAGTCAGGCAGGTACAGGATGGCAGGCAGGCTTGGGGTCAGGGCAGGCAGAATGGTCAGAAACT